ACAATGTTAGATTTTTAAAAATTTCAAATATAGGGGTCTTCAATTCCTAAGAATTAATAAATCAAATAAAGTGAGTTCAAAACACGAATAATAAAATCATATTGATAATAAGATTACCTTAATGATTATATTATCATAATAATCTCACAAAAAATACCAAAAGCTATCTAAAAGTTTAAATTTCAATTTTTCTAATACCCAATTTGAGGAAAACAAAGGAAAGGAAAGCTAAAAAATATTTACTTTTGTGAAAAGACTATATTATCCTTATATTTTTACATAGCACAATTAGACTTCCCCTTTTAGGATAAACCTAGCCATATAAATTTTTTATTTTTTAGTACACAATTTTTTTCTCTCTTTTGTCATTCTCTAACCCTAAGATAAATTTGACATTTCATTTCATGTGTCATCTTTACTTTTCAGAAAATTCTAAATATATCTTTGATTTTTTCTTTCTATACTTTTTTTTCAAAATTATTTTCAATGAAATTACTTAATTACCTTTTCTCTTTTCTCTTCACACCCTTTCTACTTAATTTTAAGCTTCTGGATTTACAAATCTAGAAGTTTTTAAAAGTTTTTGGATTTGCAAATATGGTAGCTCTTAAAAGCCTTTGGAATTGCATATCCAAAAACTTTTTAAAAATTTTCAAATTTATATATCTAGAGCTTTAAAAATTTTTATAACATATTTTCTCTGAATTAATTTTTTTCAAACTTAATTATAAGTGTTTTTACTCAATGGATATGAAAATTCTATAAGTTATATAACTTACTAAAAATATATGTCCGAAAGTTTTAAAATTAAGATGAAAAGGATAAATAGGTCATTTCACTTAAAGAAAATTTTGAAAAAAAAATGTATAAAGAAAAAAAATATGAGTATATTTAGAATTACGCTTCAGATAACACCAATAATTTACCAACTTATTATTTTTTGATTAGTTTTTAGATGCAAATTTATGCATATATCTTAATATTAAATGAAGTAGCATTAATAGTTTATTATAATTTTTATGAATATTTTTGGTCTTATTTTGATATTACATGTTATTCTATAAAAAGGGTTATAATTAAAAAATAATACTATAATAATTTTTTTTTCTTTTCACTCTTTAACCAAACAAAAATGGTTGAGTTTTATTTTTTATTAATTTTAACTATTCAAAAAATATATTTTCTCTTTTTTTTTAAAAAAATCTACATTTTCTTTATTTTTTTCTTTTCCTTTATTTTACTAATATTTATCTAATGAAAAACTATAAAGTTTTGAGAACTGTAGACACCCCAATCTGTCTAGAGCTGCAATTGTTTGATTTGTTGTTGTTAAATGTTTAAAAAAATAAAAAAAAAAGAAAAATTAGGAAAGTTTGAAGCAGTTGAGTTTATATGGGATTTTTTTTTTTTATATGAAATTTGGGTTAAAGTCTGAGTTGGAGTTGGAATTGAAATGCAATTAAAATCTTTTTTACTTTAGGGCTCTTATAATCAAATCCATATAAATATAAACCCAAATTAAGCAACAAAACACACAGAGAGATAAAAAAAAAAAAAAAAGTCACACATAAAAATCTAGTGAGTTTTTTTTAAAGGTTTTTTTTTTTGAAAAAATCTAAAATTTCTAGATTTCGACGAACTTTTTCCAGTTTTCGGTGAAGATTTTGGTGAAGTTTGAATTTTTTAGCTAATTTCCCATAATTTGGTTTAAAATTTCGATAAAGATTGAATTTTTCATTGGCATTTTGGTGAAAAATCTAGATTTCGACGACTTCTCGGCAAAGGTTTCTAGAATTCATTGAATATTCAATCGGAATTCTTCTTGTTCTAAAGAGAGGGAAAGAAAGGGAGAAGAAGAATAAATCTGAGTAAAAATAGGATTTTGGCGATTTTACATGCTTGCCAAATGATGTTATTTTAGACGTTTAATTTAGCCTAGGATCCGTGTGTTTTCTAATGGGTGGTCCGACCCGAGCGCTTGACCCGTCTTTTTACCCTCGTTCTAGCTAGTTCTCCAATTGATCTGAATCAAAAGTTAAGCCATTCCAGTCACTGTCCCTTCTTACAACCGAGCCTTTCAACCGCTGAGCTAAGCCGTTTCTTATTTTGATTTTTTAAAATTTTTATTTATTTATTTATTTTATTTTTAAGTATTTTTGCATAATTAAATTTTTAAAAAAATAGAAAAAAATAAAACAAAATAAAACATTAACAAAATTTTTTAAGAATAAATAATAATTATCCAATGATTAAATTTTTAGAAATTGAAAATGTTAATTTCTATAAAATTCCTATGTAAGAAATTTTTTCTAAATTTATCCCAAATAAAGGAGAATTTAGATAAAGTTTCAATAATAATAATAAATATTTATTTTTAAAAATAAAAAAACACAAATCTAATAAAATTTTGGAATTAAAATACTAATTACTCAATGATAAGATTCTCAGAAATTTCAAATGATAAATTTTCTAAGGAATCTTTAAGTGAGAAATTTCTTTAAATTTGATCCAAATGGTAGAATAATTTAGATGAAATTTTAATAAAAGTAATTGTATTCTTTTTCAAATAATAAAAATATAACTTAAAAATAAAAATTCTCATTGAAAATATTTGACAATTATCCAAGGATGAGAATTTTAAAATTTTCAAATGATAAATTTCTTAAGAAATCTTTAGGTGAGAAATTTCTTTAAATTTGTCCCAAATGATAGAAGAATTTAAATGAAAACTTTAAAAAAAATAATTGTCATATTATTTTCTTTTTAAAGATAAAAAAAAATTTTAAATAAACCCAAATGGTGAAAATTTAGAAATTAAAAAGAAAATTTTTTAAATAAACAAAAATGGTAAAAATTTAGAAATTAAAAAAAATCCTAAATAGACCGAAATAGTAAAAAAATTAGAAATAAAAATAAAAATAAACCACAAGGATGAAATTCTTAGTAATCACAAAAGGTTGATTATCTAAGAAATTTCTAGGTGATAAGATATTTTTAATTTTGGTCCAAATAATGGATAAATTAGATATATTTTTAATAAATAAACAAAACCAAAATAAAAAAATGATTAAATATTTTTTCAATGACGGAGCCTTTTCAAGAAAACAAATGAGTTTTTTGAATACTCTTAAAGTGATAAAGTATTTTTAATAATTCTACCAGATTGATGAAAAATTTTAAAAGTTATTTTCTATATTCAACATTAAAATTTAAGACCATTAGAATTAAAAGCTTAGGATAATTTAAAATAAAATGATACTGTCTTTTTGTTGGCATATGAAGATGTTATAACCTTTCTCATATATGATCAAACTCTCGAACCTTATTTTGACTAGTAGATCAAAACTTATTCTTTTAGGTACCCTTAGTGAAGCTTATAAGTTCCTTAAAATAATATATTCATTAGGTGGTTAATTACACTTAGTTAAAAAAGATTGATGTCGACTCTTCTTGTTAAGTTTAGTTATAGATTTACGAATCTATATGTTATGACAAGAACAAATATCATGTTTAGATATATTAGTACTCACAAGTTATTCGAGCTAAATTATAATAAAACACAAATTCAATTTGATCATTATCAAGCCAAGCTTGATAGCTCGACTTATTGAGTGAACTGAGTTTGAGTATCTTAATGTCTAGATCAAATAGCTCACTAACGTAATCAAATTTTTATATTTTTATATATATTTTTATAATTTTAACTAAAAAATTACTCTTTTACCTATATATATATATATGAATTTGAGTTCTAACATAAATAATCGAACTTAAAATTAATCATAAAAATTAAATTCATTTTTTTATTCAACAAACAAATCTAATATTTAAACAAATTTAATAACTCAACTTTTTTTAAATTAAATTTAAATTTAAAAATTAAAATTCGATGGAACTCAAATTAAATTTTAAATAATAAATTTTAGTTTGAATTTAAACTTCTCGTTACATCATCTTGATTTAACTCGTCGCTAATCGTATCTACCCAAAATTCGAGGTTGAGTCGTCGTCCATTATTGTTAACCGTCACTTAACAGCTACATAATTACCCAAAACTCCCTTACCTCCTCAACCCTTGTTGCATTAGTTTTTTTTTTTTTTTTTTAAGGTTCTAAAAATCCTTAGTCTAAGACTCAAAGACGCGAGCTAGCTACTAGGGGTGTGCAGTCGGTTAATTTGGTTAATTCGATCTGAAAAAATCAATAACCGAATTAACCGATTTTATTTTATCAATAACCGAACCGACCAACAAAATTTTAACTAATCGATTTAACCGAACCGATCAAAAATCGATTCGATTCGGTTAGTTCGGTTAAATAACCAAATTTTTCATCATTTTTTCTCTTATTTTGAATAATTATTTAGCTACAAATTCAATATAATAAAACTCAAATTGACATACCATTCAAACTAAATCACTAAAGAATTTAATAATTTCTACAATATTTTACAAGAAAAAAGACAAATAAATACTCATTTAAACTTATTTAATCAAAATAAATTAAATAATAAGTTTTAAAAAGTATTACTTTAACATATATCAAATAACCAACAAAGCCATCAATACATAATAATTGTTATTTCAACACATAAACAAGTTTTCAAGGATCAACAAGCCAACTTAAAAAAGCAAATCAAGCAAATATGCATCTCATAACTTTGGTGCAAAACATAAAAGACATTTTAAGTTGACAACTAACAACTCATACAAAACATAAAACAAGACAAGAACACTCCGAGTTGACAAATGGATATAAAAGTTCATAAAAAAACATAAAACAAGCTAATTAAAGGACATTCCAAGTTCTAACAGCATTCTTCATACATGAACCCCATAACTTTGGTGCACATCCTTCATTTTTTCCTAAAATGTTAAAGAGATTAAAACCTTAATTAGTTGTCAATGAATACAATAAATATTTTTTTAAATGTAAATATTCATAGAAATTAATAATGAAATTACCTCAAAAGGTCCATACACCTTTGTTTTAATCAATTACTGGATCTAAGGCAATTTTTGACAAATCTAAAAATATATAAACAAAAAATAACAAAAGTAAGCTTTAAACAAATAAAAAAATAAAAAATAATAATCCTTAAAAAATAAATGATAGTATAAATAAAATATTACCTAAATCCATTTTGTCAAGCTGTATCAAATCATCTTCAGGTTGAAATGAATCAAGATTAGAAGATCTACGTAACCAATCTTGAGCACAAATAAGGGCTTGCACAATTTTAGGAGTTAAAGAGCTCCTATATGCATCAAGCACACAACCACCAGTGCTAAAAGCAGATTCGGAAGTAACTGTGGATATAAGAATTGCTAACACATCACAAGCTAGATGGGAAAGGATAAGAAACCTATGGCTATTAAGTTTCCACCAAATTAAAACATCAAAGTCATCACTATCATCATCATCAGGCTCCTCACTCAAATATTTAGCCAATTTTGATTTATGTTCATCTTTGCCATGTTCAATCCTATACCTCTTGTACTTGGACTTAAAGCTTTCTTTTTTTTTTTATCGTTCCATTTCCACTTTCATCATCGGTGGGCTGTGACATTTGGCTCACTTGACTACTTTCACCAACTTACTCAGACTGAGGTTCTAACATTCTTTTGTATTCATTAAATAAGTCTTCTATTGCTTGTTGTACTTTTTTAATCATCAATGAAGCTTCATCAGAAGAATACATTTTCATGACGCAATATTCAACAAAAGGAAACTTTTTTGAAGGATCAAGAAGAGAAGCAATATAAACCAACATATTCATCTTCTCTATATTTTCCCAATACTTATCATATTTATCCTTCATTCTCTTTGCCATTGCATTCAACTCAACATTAGGATTTAATTGCCATTCTCGCAAAGTGGAATAAACATCACATATATCATCAAAAAAAGTATTAGATGTGACGTAAGAAGTACCTAAAACTTTCACGGTGAGATCATAAAATTGTTGCAAGAAAAGGCAAAACTTCCTAACAATTGCCCAATCATTTTGATCGGGTACCCCATCTCCCATCAAAAGCTCACTTCTATAATACGGATCAACATCATCAAATGCATCAAATGCCCTTTCAAACTTTTGAGCTGCATCCAACATCAAATAAGTAGAATTCCATCTAGTGCTAACATCAAAACACAATAAACTTTTACTTTGAATATGTTCATTCACAATACACTCTTTAAACTTAGCTAACCTGGAAGGTGATTGTCTCACATATCTTATTGCCCCTCTAACACGAGCAATTGTTTCATTCATTTCCTTCAATCCATCACAAACAATAAGATTAATAATATGTGCAATGCATCTCAAATGAAGATATTTGCCTCCCAAAATACTAGTTCCAGCATTGTTAAATTTTTTCCTCAAATATGCAATTGCAACATCATTAGAACTAGCATTATCAACTGTAACAGTAAAAATCTTATTAATCCCCCAATCACGCAAACATTTTTCAATCGCATAGCTTCACCTTTGTGACTAGAAATGGGACAAAAATTTAATATCTTTTTGTTTAGTTTCCAATCTTTGTCTATGAAGTGAGCCGTAAGACACATATAATTGACCCTTTGTAATGAGGTACATGTATCAGTGGTAAGAGATACTCTTGTAAAAGATGATTTCATGAATTACTTCAAATGAGTCTTTTCATAAATATAAAGCTGATAGCAATCCCTAGCAACTGTCCATCGTGATGGTACATGAAATCTAGGACATGCAACTGACATGCAATGCCTAAATCCTTCCGACTCCACAAATCTAAATGGCAACTCATTCAGAATGATCATTTTAGCTATAGCTTTTCTAACAGCATCTTGATTAAATTTCCAAGTGCCTAAAGATTTCACTCATCCTGACGGCAACACCAATTCTATTTGAGTACCATCATCCCCACTAACACGAGGAACTTTTTTACAAGAATTCATGTGATTCTTTAAAGTGGTGGTTCCATTCTTTTTAGGATCAGCAAAAAATTCTCTGTCACAATAATTACACCTAGCTTTACGATTACCTTCCTCATTAACAAATTTAGTAAAGTGGTCCCATACCTCTGACCATGTCTTAGATGCTTGTCTCATCACTTTGGAATTTGCAGTTGCACTTTTTGTTACCTCATCATATGCAGGAAATTGAGAGGCCAATTGTGTTTGATTAGTTGTAGAATCCAAAATCATATCATTCACTTCATTTGACATCTTAAAAAAAAAAAAGCAAGTGATCAAATTATATCCTAACAATAAAAAATAAAAAATTATATTATATTAAAATAATAAATAAAAATAAAATTATATTCAAATAATGAAAAAATAATAAAGTAATATTCACACAATTATTGAACACATTGGATATTCAAATAATGAAATAGTTTGTTAATCAAACTATATATTAGTTGCTTATTTTATCAACAAACAATGTAAGTGTCTAGCATAGTTTAGGCTAATTTATTTTAACTTTTAATTTAAGTATCTAGCATAATTTAGATTAATTAGTTGCTAGATCTAGTAAGAAAGTTAAAACTTAAAAGTGCTAGATCTCTGACAATAGATTTCTTTAAATTCTTTATTCCCGAATAGTTGTGTTTTAAATTTATTTCTCTATGTATACATCCAGTATTTACACACTCTACTTCAAGATGTAAATCACTTAAACTATTTTTGTCTTTCGCTTGTGAGTTGTGGGACCATTCTTGAATCGTCTTAGTCCACATCATTACCATGTTGCCATACCATCAGTCATCCTTAAATTACCAAAAGAAAGTAACAAAATCTGCATTTATTAAAGCTGCATCTCATTTCATAACCAAATGATCTCATCAATCCTTTGATTTCATTTCTTCTCATTCATTCCAAGTGTGTTCTTCACACTTTCCACAGCACCCTGAGCCATGCCCTTCATTTGCTCTCCAGTCTGTAACAGTAGAAATTCCTATTTCATTAGTTTCCTAACCAAAACTCAAAATAATGTAAACTTTATCAATTGTCTGTTTAATGTACCCTAAAATGAGGTATTATTATTATTGAAAAGCAAAAGAATTGATGAAAGGGAATGATAGATAAAGAAGAAACATGCTGAAAGAAACCAGTAGTCTGCTGTAGGAAACCAACAGACGCAGGAAACCAGTAGTCTACTGTAGAAACCAGCAGTCTGCTACAGGAAACCAGTAGTCTGCTGCTATCTTTGCTGAGCAGACTCTTGAGCTGATTGAGTAGCATTTGTTGCATGGTCTCTAGCTGCATTTGCAGTATCCTTATAATTACAGAGCTTAAATTCTGCTTGGGGAATAGACTTAACTAAATCAACAGATAAAATTCATCAATCTGAGAAAGGTGCGCTTCACCACACATTAATTGGTTTCCCCAGTCGGCCTCCATGCTAGAAAATAGCATTTTCTTTTAGTTTTTCTTGAGTCCACTGTCCACATCGTCTTAGTCCGAATAGTTGTTGCTTTCTTTTGGTAATTTAATGAAGCAAGTCGAAACTGGCAGAAACTGTTATTAAAAATCTTGCTCCCTTCATTTTTATAAGTTAAAGTGCTTTCCTCGACTAAAAAGAGTATTTTCACAACTTGCTACAGATACTGTAAATCCAACGTGGGGCGTGGAAGGTTTTGACTTTTGATCCTTTTGTTCCAGAACCTAGTTAATCAACTGGAGGAGTAAACAAGCCACTGAATGTCCTAGACCTATTCCTTCCAGGCTAGAGATAGTGTCCATCTATCGAATCACTCTAAACAAGTAAACAACAAAAGCTATTGAAAAATACCAGCAAAAAAAACATTATCGTGGGCATACCTTGGGGCTGAGGTTTGGCTGTTTGGGTTATGCTTTAGCTTAAAACATACAGGAAGAATACAGCTCTAAACATCACGCTAAAAGAAAAAATAAAGGTTATTAAGATTTAAGAACTTACGATGGCATCTTGGGCAGATTGATCTCTACAACTGTGGATCTTTTGTAGCAAATCAGAGGGAGCAAAAGATTATGAGGCAAGTAGCCAAGCAATAGAGTAAGAGGGAGGCAAAGATGCAGGAGATTAAAGGAGAGCAAACTGCAAAGGGCAGAGACACAGTAAGCTGCAATAGAGGAAGAGCAAATAGCAGAAAGGGGAAACAGCTGGGTGGATGAGTTATAAAAAAGGTAAGTTAAATTTAGGTTTTTTTAAAGAGAATTTACATATTTACCCTTAATTATTATAAGATCGATTAATTCGATTAATTCGATTATCAATTTTAAAAACCGATAACCGACCGATTTAACTAATTTAACCGATCTTAAAATCGATTACAACCGAAAACTGATTAAACCGAACCGAAATGACCATATTTCATAATTTTGATCGGTTAAATCGGTTAGAACCAATATATGCTCACCCCTACCAGCTACTAACAATTTATTATGTTTCTCTCCACCCTTTATTCTTCCTTTCCACCGGTTTTTATTTCTTCAAAATCCCTTTAGAAATCATAAACCGAAATCTAGGAAAGAAAACCCCAAATGTCCTTTTTGTGTGTGTTTTTATTTCTTTGATGGGACATTGTCGTTATTATTGTTGTTTTCCACTATGACTGTGGTGCGGTACTGGTTATCATTGCTGATTATGGGTACTAAATTAGGGAATTGGGGAGCTGTTAAGGAGGTGAATTGTTTTTGCATTTTTGGGTAGTTGTTCTTTGTTGTTGTTAAATTTGTTGTTGTTTTAAGGAACTTTAGCTGGATTTTGGGTGTCGTCAGAAGTTGCTGCTGCAGTGGTGGTGGATTCTTCTTTGAAGATAGAATTAGGGAAGCCGCGACGAGCTGGGTGGTTTCGGATTTGCTAGTGGTGATGTAATTTTGAAGTTGCTCAATGTCGTTTTGGAGAGAAAATTTCTTTTTTGGATTGGACGTCATCTCCAAGTACAGTATCATTTTTGAGGATAGGCAGTGACTGGTGTTTGCAGTGGTGGAACGGTAAAAGGTGTCCTTGGGGGTAGGGAATGACAAGAGGAATGAGAAGAATAGAACATTTTTTATTTTTAAATTTTTATATTATATTTATATTTATATTCATATTTAATGAATATTTTAAATTTATCTTTTTTTTTTTTTCGTCGATGAGTATTGTCTATTCACTTAACTTTTAAAAAAATAAAAAACAAAATTTATTTTTTTAGTTTTTTTATTTTTATTTTGTATATTTAAATAATTTTTTATAAATATATATTAATTTTAATGAATTTTAAATAATAATTTATATTATTTAATTAAAAATTATTTATTAAATATAAATATATATATATAAATATAAAATTAATGTTATATTATCTATTTTTATTTTTGTATCTAATAAAAATTTAAAATTATATTCATCTTTACTATTATACTTATAATATAATATTTATTTTTATCGTTGGAAGCGGTTTCTTAGTTGTTTTCATCGCATGCTACAAGAAACACTTTTTGCAAGATATAGTGTTATTCATGTAATTATAAATTTTGGAGTATATTTACCTATTATCACACCGAGATTTTTTTCAATTTGTAATTTTTGTGTATATTTACAATATACAATTTTCTATTTTAATTATTATTATATTTTTTACCATATAATTATTATTTTATTAATAATTGAGTTTTATATTAACTATAATTTTTATTTAATTCACAAAATTATCAATGTATAAATTCATATCATTAATCACGTGATATTTCATAAATGAATTTTAACTCCAATTTACATGTTTAGCACGTGAGTGTTTTTTGTTAAATATAAGCTAAATTGGTAAAAATTAAAACACGAGGATCAAAGTAACTCATTTTTCATAGATAGCAGGAGAGCCAAATTTATTATTAAGACACTGTGTATTATTGGCATTTGTGAGTTACAAAAGTTAAGAGCAAGGGTAGGAGCATATACAAGAAGAAGAAGAATAACATATTCCGCCTCGATTATCATGTGGAAATTTGGTTTTGCAAAATTTCTTGCATAAACCATCTTCACAATTTGGAAGCCTAAATCGCTTACCACATTCTGGTCCTTCACCTTCTTCCCCCAATATTACCTCATTTCCTGCATCAGTTAATTAATTCACTAAACCAAATTAATGTGTACAAAATTATTCAACAATATAGATAAAATGCAAGGACATATTATTTACCAACACCAAAGAGGAGAAGAACAATAAAGATAGCTGAGATTTGCAAATTCTTCATGGCTTAATTTCTTCCCTTTCTGTAAATTATAAATTGGATGGTGAAATTTTAAGTAACAGTGAATGTTTCCCAAACACATCATCTTTGGCATTTACAGAACAAAATATAGGATAGCCAGCTAAGGTCTTTTTCAGGACAAAAAAGTCGTTGTTAAAATGGAAATATATGCTGTCAATGGATTGCTATTACCAATTCCTGCTAAAACCAAGCAGTTTCAAGTTTGTTTAAGCTTTAATTAGTTGGGTAAAACTGATGTAGCTGAATTTTGTAAAATTTTATCTTATTAAAAATGATTAAAAAATTAATTTAAAATTTAAAATTGTTATATTATAAAATCTTGTTACATAAATATATAAATTTTAAAGAAATTTAATAAATTTTCATATATTTTAGATATAATTTTTATTGAAATTTTAATTAATAAACAATATTAATTTTTTCTTTAAACTTTATCATTTAATTTTGATTTTAAAATAAATTTTATGTAATCATTTTTAATAAAAAAATTTCTACCTAAATCTTGTCTTAATTAGTTTGATTTTTGGTTAAACCCTACTCATCTATAACCATTTGTAATTTAACGAGGTTTAGAGTTGAATCACAAGTCAAAATCTCCCACGAATTTTTTTTAGAGATCAACTAATCTTCACTTTACGAGGATAGGTTTGACTCGATTCGGACTTAATTTATTCATTTTTTTTTACTGCACGATTTTTATTTTTTAGCTTTAAATAACATGTAAATATTTATCAAAAACATCATTTTATACGTCATCATTTATCACTTAAATGACAGTTGTCTAAAACAAATTGCCTTTAGTTTTATTTAATTAAATTAGATTTTTTAATTAAATATAAATATAAAATAATAAAATTTTTTAAAATTAAGTAAAAATTTGCTTAATTTTTTACTTAATTTAATCAAATAAGATTTTTTAATAGATTTAGTAAATAAATTTTTTATTAAATAATATAAATTATTATTTTAAATTAATTAAAATTAATATATTTTTATTGAAAAATATATATTAATAAATATTTATAAAAAATTATTTAAATATATAAAATAAAAATAAAAAATAAAAATAAAAAATATAAATTTGTTTTATTTTTTAAAAAAATTATTTATATAGACCGTACCTATTAAATATTAAAAAAAATAAATTTAAAATACATATTAGACATAGAGACGATAATAAATTAAGATAAAAATTCACAAATGAAGATAAAAAGCCAAAACGACATTGACAACTTCAAAAAGACAAAACCACCCAGCTGGACACGACTTCCTCCGATTCCATCTGCGAAGTAGATGATTCCACCACCACCACAACTTCTCGACAAAATGAACTTTTAAATTAATTAAAATTTAAGAACTTCAAAAAAGAAATTGAACATTTTGGTTTCATGTTTTATTCATTTAAATCTACGTACAAAATTTAAATTAACTAAAAATGCAAAACTATCTTTTGACTATTAAATTTCAACCTTTTTTCATTATAAACCAAGCAACGCAATAGCTGCCCAGCTTTCAGAATGGACCTTTTCGTCATTACAGAACAAACAAACGTCTTTGCCAAATCTATTTTTACATACATAAAGCAGACACAAATCATAGGAAAAACCATGCACTGAACGATTCAAGCTGCAAACACTCGGCTTTCAAATCAAACAAACGGAAATTCACATATTTTTACACTTATCAAGAACCTAATTTTAAAGCAAAAATAATTCAAGATTCCATATCGCTGTTTCCATGATCAGGAAGTGAAATTGCTTCTGTGAAAGTAAAACGTTTGGTTGCACGGAACAGTTTAGCCAGCTGCAGAACTACAGTTTGAGATGCAGTCGTCGTCGGTGAAACAGATTCTGGAAGAGCTGGCATACAATCAGGTTGGAATTCCTTCTTGTTGTAGGTTTGCACAAACAATGTCAATACCACCCGACAAAAAATAAATCTGCAAAACAGACAAAAACTTGGTTTTTTAACCAGAAATGTATTACAAAATGCCGAATGGTCTTGGTTTCTTCCCAGCTGCAACATTTTTACTCCAGAAAGAGTTATTATGCTGTGGGAGATAAAAAGAGAAGTACAACTTGCAAATGCATGACAAAGCTGTTCAGGCTTATTTCACCTGGCAAAAAGTTAAGCTAATTCTACAGAAAGGCCCAACAGCCATGATCCTCGTATGACTAGATGAAAAGTTGAGGGACTCCAAATCTCCAATGCCAAGAGCAAATGCCACTTCAAACATGTACAGTTTATAGTGTTTACCACGTAGTGCCACATTCTGGTAGCATTCTTCTATCTAATAGTATTGTGGTGAGGGGTGAACGAAAAAGGAAAGAAGAAATCCAGATAGGAGACATAATACAAGTTTAGCAAAAACCAAGTTCAAATTTTTCAATAACATCGAAAAATGAGACTCGATATATACCACCACATTGCAAAGGAAACCAATCAATAGAATAGATATGGGAAAAACTTTAATGCAGATGTTTGGTCAAATTTCATAAAAATCATGAAACCTTCTAGCATGTGCTTCCTAAAATATTTCGATCCTTACACTAAGACAAGGCAATACCTCAGAAGAAATCGACGGAGGAATGGATCTCTAAGAATCTGTGCCCAGACAGGATCAAGGTTATCTGATGTTGCCAATGACAAGCCCCAGTCATTTAAGGATGAAGAAAGCAGGCTTTCAGCATTTTTATATGTCTCCTGACAATTTTCCCTCTGTTAATAATACCAAACAAAATAAAAGAACAAACAAGCATGAAAAGTAGAAGATTTGTTCCCTACACACCATTTCAACATCAGAGCCAGAAATACCAAGCAACAGACAGAAAGCCTGCAGTGGAGCTGTTAGAAAAACTGTGAATAAGCTACCAATTGAGTGACGAGAGGAATCACCAGCACAAATTCGATACGAACAGCTAGGAGATAGAAGCAATGCAGCTCGTTCTCCTTTCTCAGCTCCACTAATAGCCTGCACATATTTTAAGACAAAATGAACTTTTACATGGGTTTGCTAAATAAAAGGAGGTAATAGAAGGTATGATTAGAAATTATGCACACAAGACAACATCAATTAAAGCAATGAAATAGATCCTTTTTTACTTGAAAAGAGAAACGGTTGACACTTGCCTTAAACACCTCACTGGCCTCACTTTCAATTATTATAAAGAGTGGCCTTCTAGTAAATGGAATTAAGTCACTGGGGTAAATGCAGTTCAATCCTGGAAACAAGTTATTTGATGTCACAATAAACATTAATAATCCTAGCAGACACAGGTGTAATAATGCATAATATTAGACTATGAATAAAGCAAAATCACATTATTAAAGGACTGACATAGCTCTGAAATTGAAAACTGACAAGAACCAGCACAAATATAAATATTAAAAATATGGAACATGAAACATGAAGACCAGCCACTCTAAAAATTTTGGTAGTTCCTTAAGTAAATAAAGCATGTAAAGAAGAAAGTTTGCAAATCATACAAAAATATGGTTGGCAAATTGATTGGCAATAGAAGATAAGCAGAAGAGATGCAGCAAATTACTTTTTCACATGATGTGGCATGTTTGATAAAAACCAACTGTGAGAAAACCAATGCCTAAAATTAACTAGTACTAACGCCTACTACCATTACAACAGAAACAACAATCTAAAGAATCCTTGAACAAGATACTAACAAGGCTCTCAACTGGCTAGCATATTTATGAGTTGTGACTTCACAAAAATGACATCTGCAAGAAAACTTTAAGTTCATAATAGAGAAGGATTCTGAGAGAAGGCAGTTTACATGTAATCTCTTCAATTCATCCCACAAGTACAGATCAAGCTATCACATAAAGCTAAACAATGAGCACCATGGCAGATTAGATATACGAGATTGATAAATGCTAAGAATTCTGAGAATACCTCCACTCCCACGATTACCAAACTGCAAACAACCATTGTGGTAACTGATGCAATCTCCTTTATTTTGACTTGCAGAAGGGTTTGGGCTATCACTTGGTGAGCTAAAAGATGAAGTGGAGGTTCCATCCGAGTGAATTGTATGAGACTGAAAGTCCCTTATAATATTTTCTGTTGTGTTGATAAAGGTTCCAGAACCTGAGGGAGACGACGCATGTCCACTTGCTCCTGAAGCATTTTATTGTAAGTGGCATAAGCAGCTGCAATTCTGATAATGAATAAGGAGAAACATGGTAAGCATGAGTCACAGCTGATCACCTGAAGCTGACAAATATATCAAGAGAACACCATCAGGGGGGAGCTCCTCACAGATAGTTGCCAAAACCTGCCCACAGAAGGTACAATAACGTGAAACATGCTATAGAGCAAGAAAGCTAGTCAGCATACTGACCATAATTTTATAAATAAAACCCCCTGTTCATTGCTGACTTTGGCAGGTAAGTTACATAAATAACCAACATCACTTTTTTTGAAGTATATATGTTTTACTATATCCCCTGATATGCAAGAAAGGCATTTATGTATCTCCCCAGCAATTTCTGATTCCATAAAGGGCAAGAAAACATTTCGTTGATGGGCATAGAAATGATAATCCATCAAGGTAATAAACTCCTTGTTCTTCACATAAATTTACAAATAATATCTATTTAGATATGTTATTGAGCTAGGACAGAATTGATGCCTCACCAGCATCTTACAAGTACTGCATTATTTTCAATCCCTATACTCTTTTGTACTAATATAGAATGCCAGGGCCTAAGTCAGTCTCTTACCCACTTGGTCTCTCTTTTAAAATTTCAAATGAGTTAATGTTATCTCCCATTGAATCAATCACTCAATAATTTTTACTTTGTCATTTAATACATTCACCCATTGAAAATCTTGACTCCAAGACTCCAACTCTCCCCTCCCTCTCCAATTTTTCTCTTTCCAAAAATGATTTATTTCATTCATAAATATTAAAGTTTATTCTTTCCTGGCCCAAAAAAAATATTCTATTACCTTCTTATTATAATAATACACCATCCTTAAGCACACCAAGACTACAACCTGCAGAAAATATCTAATCACAAAGGCTTCAAACTTACTGCTATAAAATGTGTTAGAGATGGACGATATAATACAGCTTTTCTTGGGTTGGGTGGCAGAGTAGGATCGGAAATATCTTGGGAGTGGTTAACGCGACTAGATCCTAAGGCTCCATTCTGACCACTTTTACCAACACTGGACTGGTAGAAAGAACCACTGGGCTCCCATTCCAGGCACTGAAGCATCCTGAAGGTGTCAAGAGTGAGCTCTGAAAATTTGATCTGATCAAGAATATAGAAAAAAAGATAGATTACAAACTATTTTTAATTCAGTATGTATAACAGTGCCAAAAACAATTCAATTTTTTGAACTATATATGCAACTATACCATTTATGAGGGAGAAGGAGGAAAAAGAAAACCTTAATAACTAACCTCGTTATGATGGTAGCTGCTCAGTACCGCATCTCGCAATCTTAAATTCTTTCTTGCAACAGGTGCAGCAACATGAGGTAGAACATCTGGATGGGGGTCCAGTACAAGACTATACCTTAAAGGCCTGATATTCATAAAAACGGTGTCGGCTTTCAAAAATCTAACTATCTCCTGAACCACCAGCTTCCATTCTTTAAAGTCAGTGTCCTGGAGAAAACATGGGGTGCAGATCATTAATTTGTACACAAGTAATCACTGCCATTCAAAAAAACCGAATCTGAATGTCAAAGGAAGATTTGGAGGTTCCTAAATTAGGAAAAAAAAAAAAAAAACCTATCATGTCAAGTGAAAACATCACCAAAAGACAGGAACCATGAACATTTTTAAGGTTAACATTGCATAATAGTTTCTTCCATATTCAAAGATTTCAATGGAAATTTTTGTTAAAATATAAATAAAACAATTATTTACCAAAAGAAGAAAAGATAAGTAGACTTAGGAAGTAACTATTTAACGTTTCATCATTCATTCAAATCCAAACATATGTGGTTTGTTCAAAATTATTATATGTGGTTTGTTCCTTGATATACTACTAATAATGATGATTTCCTTTTTCTTCCATAACTCAAAAACCCCCACCACAAAAGAAAAGCGAAAAAGAACATATAAATATCCTCATTTTCACTAATAGCAGTCTAGTTTTAAGGCACATATATATATTCCATTAGTTGTACAAATGCAGCCATGCAAAATTATGCATGCATGGTAAAGTCATAACCAACAGCAGGCATGTAGAAGGAAAATAAAAATAAAAAGACCTGGAAAGTCCTCTTGCATTCATCAACCAACATCTTCAGCTGACTAACTAATTGATGCACCATTTCTCTCCGGTTCAAAACCAAACACACCATCAAAAATCTAGCTAGAAACCTCAATTGTTTGTTCGCAAGATTGGCATCCTGACATGATCCCTCTTTGAAATACTCCCTCGTCAATATAGCTTCATAGAAGATAAATGCCTCAGACAAATAATTCACTTCACTTGTTCGCATATATTGTCCGTAATAAAGCTGAGCAATTCGAGAGGCAATCTCTCCAATCTCCCATCTCTTAAGCCCTGCTTCCACTAGCTTCTGCCGATTTTCCTGTTGAAACTTCCACAACTGGGTGTAGACCTTGAATACCTTGTAAAAGTACGTATCATACCTAAGAAGCAAAAAATAAAAATGATAAATTCATCATTCAATTGTTTCTCAAAGAATATTCCACCAAATATTGTTCCATTTAAACCATAGAAAACCACACTCTCTCGGGTTACTAAAGTTCTGTTTGTTATTGCTTTGAAGACTTAACTTTTACAATTCTGAATTCTCTTGATTTGTAAATAATTTCTAAAAGTCATAACTAATTAAAATGAACGAACAACTAAAATTCGACATCAATTTAACATAATTATTCAATATTAAATTAAAATCATACATTTTGATCTCCGAAAATAATTAAAAACTTAATTTTTAGATCAAATCATAATTCAGTTTCGCATCCAAAAGCATTCTCGCTCTTCGTTTCGACAGACAAAAGGCAAAATCAACTACCAAATGGAACCTTCAAAAAAATCTAAAATTAAATCAAAGATAGATTGCTTAATCTTCCATTAAATCAAAGATAGATTTTACGATTTTTTTCTAATTTAATTTCTGTACAGAAAAAAAGGCAATAAATTGAAGAAATTAAAACATCAAAAATCCTAATTTCCAAAAAATATAAAAAATAAAGAAAAATTTTAAATAAATGAAAGAATATATACCTATTGCGCTCATAGTAAGGCAAGTCTCTGATCTTAGAAAACTTCTTATCAGCTTTATCCACTAAAGTCCAATACCTCTCGCTCACCGGAATATTGCTACTATTGCTGTTTATTTGCTGATGCGACATTTTCTCTTCTTTATTTTTTTGACTTAGAAATGCGATCCGTCGGCTTTTTCACATGGCTCCGATCGCGACAGGTTCCGGTCGAATTGGAGGTGGGTTATTTATTTCCGGTGATCTAATGGGAGGGGTTACCGGGAAATTGTACTGAAGTGAAAAGGGGAGAATCAATAGTTTGACCCGCAAAGTTTAACGCAGTTGGAGCTTTTTTTGTTTTGTTTTTCTTCTTCGATACTTAGCGACAGTAGTGGATCATCGGGCCGAGTGAGTGACTGAGTGACGAGTAAGTATCAAATTCACCTTCTTTCTTTTCCCTTTGACCGACAAATGTTTTTCTTTTTTTTCCAATAAATTTTCGTTTTTGGCCCATAAATTTAAGGTGACTAATTAAAAAATTAGGTTAAATACATCTTCTTTTATTTTAGTACTCCAAAGAATTAAAATTATACAAATTTCATCACTCATGTCTTTTAATTTTAAGTATAATTTAATATAAATTTATTTCTTTGAAATTTTGATAATTTGTTTAAAACTTTTAAATTTAGCAAGATAAATCCGGTAGTTATTTTATTAAAAAAATTAAAATTATTTTACTTTTAAAAAGTCAATAACTTTAATAATAAATACTCACATGAAATCATTTTATAATAATAAATTATATTTATTTATATATAATAATAAAAAAATTCTTTTAGATGCAATATATAAAAACAAAATTTGCAATTATATGTATGTTAATATATATGTAAATATATATATCTAACAAAATGAATATATTAAGTATTTAATATTATTTTAGCATATAACAATTAAAAAAATGAAAGATATAATATGAAAAAAGTTTTGTTGAAAAAAAAAATCATAATTTGATATTTGTCAATTTGATTTTAATTATTATAATATATATGTTAAAATTAAATTTATATATTTATAAAAATATAATGATAATAAAATTATTTATTTTAAATTGAAAATCATTTATGGTAAGTAAACTTAAGATAAAGAATTGTAATTTTTAAATGCAAATAATTTTTGTTACTATAAATCTAATAGATATATAGAATAAAAGATAATATTATATGTAAATGTAATAAATTGAGGTTTAGGAGGTAATTTTGTTATTATTTAAATTATTCTAACGGAATTAAAAAATTTGGGATGGATTGTTTATTTTTTAAATTAATAAATATGTGTTGAATTATACTTAAAATTAAAAGATTTTGATAAAATTTACCCATTAAATTTTAAAATTAAATGTTGGAGCTTTAACTCTCTTAAGGATTAATTTTGATACTTTGTATATTTCTATAATCTTAGTTTGAATCAATAATAAAAGAACATTTCTAACGAAAGTAATCAAACAAAATAGAAAAGTAAAGTGTAAAATAATTGAGAAATTAGAATGGAAGTCAATTGGTATTATACCAATTACTTCACATTAACATTGTTTTAACATTTGAAAGTAAAAATGTTAATAAAATTTTTACTTTAAATAAATTTCGATTAAATTTAAATTATAAATAATATTTTAATTTTTATATATTACTAAATTTTATAAATAATTTTTTTAATAATTTTTTTATTAAATTATTTTAAAGAAAATATCTTATAAATTTTATTTAAAAAATTTTATGTAATCCCTTGTTGGGAACCGCCTTGTGGGAGTTGAGATGGATGCCAAGAGCCCGATGTTCCCTGCTTGAAAACAGCAGCCGCAACTCTAGCAATTTGTCTTTCCCAAAGGGCCTATTTTATGGAATTGCCCCTAAAGGGGATATAATCCTGTGTGGCCAATTACATTGTTCAGCAATGAGATTTAGCCACGTCAGACAACTCACATGGTAGCATGTGATTTATTCTAGTAATCCCACTGGCTGAGCTGGTTGGTGACGTGATTTGCTTTGTTTTGGAATTGTAAAAGAGTCAACTCACCTACACTTTTCCAACCACTAAGAAAGCTTACTCGGTGCTTAAGGCAATTGATTGATTTAATAACTGTTTTTCAGACAATAGGAAAGCTTACTCCGTATATCAGGTAATTGGTTAATTTAATATTTTTTAAGAGTAAATTTGATAAATTTAAATACTACAGGATAACACTATACTAAAAAAATAAAAATAATATAATTTAAAATTTTAATAAAAATTATATTTGTAAATTTAATAAAAGTAAATTTTGTTTACTTATTCAAATTATAATATAAAATTTTTTATATTTTATATATATTACTTATAAAATAAATATGAATTATTAAATTTATAAAAGAAATAATATTCTAAAAATAAAAAAATAAATTACAGATACCCAAATTTAAATCAAAAAATTGCTAAGTATTACCTTTTTAACAAATTCCATAAATAAATTATTAAGTTATCCTCATCAAAAAATCCCGCAAAAAAAAAAATCCAAGGCCAAAGCAACGACAATATAGGAATCAGGAGATGGACAAATCAACGTCGCATTTCCTCTACTTTTCTTCCCTTCCCCTATAAACCGCCCCATCACTTCCTTTCTCTGTCTCTTTCCATTTCTTTTCAAGGAGTATTTTTTTCTTCCTCTAAATACAAACTTGTTTTGTTTGAAAGATTATTGAACATGAGTTCTTCAGCTAGCACCTCAAATCCTTGGTCAACCAATGATACTAATAAAGATTGTTCACAAGGAATTTGTAGTGTATATTGTCCATAATGGTGTTATCACATTTTCCCACCACCTCCTCCTTTCAGCATTGATGATGGCGGTGATCATTCTGGAACTGATTTCAAACCTCTGATTATAGCAGTAATTGCAATCCTGGCAACTGCATTTATCTTGGTGAGTTACTATATCTTCTCAAAGTATTGTAGACGGCGTAGGCAGATGGTACAAGCTTAGAGTTCAATGAAAGTAGGGATGAAATGAATCGTGGTGGACGGCAAGCGACTTCAGAAGGATTAAATGAAGGTCTTATTGAGTCTATAACAGTTTGCAAGTATAAGAAAGGTGATGGTTTAGTTGAAGGAACAGCTTGTTCTGTTTGTTTAAGTGAGTTTCAAGAAGATGAGAGTTTGAGATTATTGCTAAAGTGCAACCATGCTTTTCGTGTTCCTTGTATTGATACTTGATTAAGTCTGACTCTAGTTGTCCCCTTTGCCGTGCCAATATTGCCATGCTGGCGACAATCCGGGAAGCTCGCCGGAATGTTGGTGTATCTGCATCTGAATATCAACAAAGAAATGATGCTATTTCGGTGATCTAGGATTTGGAAAGTGATGTTAGAGAAGCGGCTGTGGTTAGCCTTGTTATTTGTGATGATATTCCAAAGACACCAGGTGAAGATGCTGGAGATATGGGGAATGTGCAAGAAAGTAGCAGTATGATAGAAACTAGACAGGATGGAAATGGAATCCAACCGTTGCGGAGGTCAGTTTCAATAAGTTCTTCTCTTTTTCAAGGCGAACCCCGTCAATTGCTGATATATTACCCATTAGTGAATAAGACGAGGATCTCCAAGTAGAACATCATTTCCAATCATCAATAGGAATTGGATCCTCAAAACAATTTGATGGAGAATATCGCAAGTCAAATAACAGAAATGGAGTTTTCAATTTGGTTAGAAGTTCTTTAGCAATGAAGAGATCCATTTCAATAGGAAGATTCATTTTCCCCAGACATGAAAAAGAGGGAAATTGAAAAAGCCAAAATTTCTGTGTATAACAAACCAGGTTTTTAAATTTTTTTTCCTCTATAACATATTAGACACACCACATTAAAGATCTCATATTTATAAATTTGGACCGATCAGATTTTACATTTACTGAATCCATATTCCTTTATGGTATCCGATCCTACAAATTAGTGTACGGATTTTGTTTTTCTTCTTTTAAATGGCCTAAATTTCACTTCACTTTATTCTTAATGATCCATTGAAGGATCTTGAATAGTCATTACTTGCAACTGGTTAAAATTATTTCTTCAATCAAACCTCCACGTAAAATGGATGCTTGAGAAATGGAAAATGAAGACAGTTTTGGAAGTCCATTTCATTGATATGCAGAAGTTATAATCAAAGCTTTTATTTTTATGGTTCATGAATGTTCTCATTCATTATAAAGTAGGTCAATCCTAATCTAAGGCAGTTAATAGAAAGAGGAGGCCTGGGAACAGCTTTCTGTACATTTAAGTACGGAACATTGTGATAACAGAATTCACATATCAACATCTACATCAGGAAAATTTTCTTTTTTCCTAAGGAAAAAGAAATGAATTAAAAAGATAAGTTGAAGGTAAGAAACAAAAATTCAACACTGCAATTCGGAATTTAATATAGTTGATTTATGCAATCACTTTTAAAAATTGACATCTAATAGATTTGAGGTTAAATTTATCACCTGGAACCTTTTTTCCTTTGAGGCTGCGGCCTGTTTTGTATAAAAAAAATTCAACACTGCAATAATGGAGGAAACTTTGCTAGCTGTTCCTTGCAACTTGATCATAATAAAGTTTGGTGAAAATTTATGAAATGGAATCCATGGAGTGATTTTCCTACAAGGGTGAGCTCCTTGGAAGAAACACAACATCTGAAAAGAAATTGGATTGAAATTTGCCATGTTGCCTAACCACCTGCTAATTGTTAGTTCTTTTCTTCCATCTTTTGAAAATTATTTTGCACTTGAAACTAAGATTTGTGTCCAAATCCTAGTTAGCATTTGCTTACCCTTGACTTGGGATTGGTTCATGTGAGTTAGCTTAAAAGCAATGCTAAAAAATCTTATTCTGACTCTTTAATTTTGTATAAACAAGATAAAAAAAATTAAAAGAAAAGGTTGGAACTTGGAAGGAAGTTGGGTTCTGCAATGATATAAAAAAAATAAAAAAACAATATGATTTAAAATTTTGATAAAAATTGTATATAAGTTCTATAAAAACAAAAAAAAAAGTGTTTTTAGTTAATTGTGACATAATAATTTTATTATTTTACATATATTTAACATGAAATAAATAAATATGAACATACAAATTATCAAATTTATTTTTTTCTCGACAAAAAACACTATATAGACCTTTTTAAAAATAAATGTTTAAAGTGGATAGATAGTTGCTATAAAAAACATTGTTAGATAGTGGTTGATTATCTGTTCATTTAGATTGTCAAAAGTAACAAATATACCTAATGGGACATACCAAACAAAATTTGTCAGAAGTTCCATTCCCTTTCATTAATTTTTTTTATTAATCATTATATTTAATTTTGATAATACACTCAAGTTATCCTGAGCTTTTGTTTGGACTTAATTCTCTCTTATAGCAATTTATTAAGGGCATTAATAGTGGATCAACTACTTTTTGATGAATTCTTGTAAATAATAAAAAAAAAATTCATCTCTTTATCAACTAAATTAATTTTTGTGGATCAATTACTTTTTGATGTATCACTAATAATCATTCACTTATGAGGTTTATTATTCATTGATGAATCTCACATATATGAAGTTGATGATAATAAATTTGTTAAAAAGTAGTCTACAACTTCACATAGTTAGCGTCTGGTGAAGGCAAAATATATTAATTATTTTCAAATATAATGAAAGAAACGCTCACTTAACAACTGATGGTTCTCAAAATTTTAATCTTCATTTTTCTTCTTTTTCATTTACTATCATTTTTTTTCGCGTGAAGAACCATATGAATTGATGCTGATTCAATGACAGGACTTGTTTTCTGTTTCTATGGTTTACATTTACTGCCTTATTTTTTAGTACAAAGGAAGATATAATGTGGGGATAGCAAAATAATGATAATGTTGATATTTGAATTTTAAATTTATTGAATATCACTTTTTAAGATGGTTATATGAATCAGTTAAGTTTTGAAAATGCCTAAGAAAATGATTTGAGTTGTGAAATTATCCTAGCAATTACTGCTCTGCCTGTTCTAGATTAGGCGCATGGATTTATCAGTTCAAAGTCATTTTTATGATTTGATTCATAAATTCTTATGATTTTATGAGCATAATATGATACAGAAACTTGAAATCTACTTCTTTATGTAGATTAAGCTTGCTTGATTTATGATTTTATCTTTGGATTAAAACACAATAGAATAGGAAGCTCCCCTGCTTTTTTTTGTCAGGAACCTTAGAAAATTGAAGTACTTAAAAAACTTTTATGAATATGATCTACATTTGAAGAAACATTGTGCAGAAGGGAATCAAACCAAACCATGTTGTTGTAGAACACAGATATATGGACCTCTTAATCGGTGCCTGTACATGATGATCATCCGTCCCAAGATGTCTCAGAAGGCCAAAAATTTGTAAAGGAAGTTTATGAGGCACTAAGAGCAAGCTCCCCGTGGAAGGAAATGTTGTCAGTAATTACATATGATGAACATGGTGGATTTTATGATCATGTTCCAACTCCTACAACTGGGGTCCCTAGCCCTGATGATATAGTTGGTCCTGATTCCTAAACCATATAACTTCAAGTTTGACAGGGTTGGAGTTAGAGTTCGTGCATTTTTTATTTTGTCCTGGATTGAAGCAGGAACAGGTAAATCCTGTCTTTAACATGAGGTAAATTAATGTTGTTTTTGAAGCTGTAACTTCTGGAGATGTCATCAAATAACTGTTGCTAAAAGAAATTTGCAGTGATACATGGGCCTAGAGGGCCATATCCTACTTCAGAAATTTTTTTTTTTAACATAAGAAGGCTGCAGCATGGAATAAGGAAAAATATTGCAGTTGCTGAGATTTGAATCTAAATACCACCTATGGATGCATAAACCAACTGAACTAAGCTTCTGTGTCATTTCCTCCTTCAGATTTTGAACATTCCTCAATTCCAGCAACTGTCAAAAAGATTTTCAATCTAAAAGAGTTCCTGACAAAGCGTGACGCATGGACTGGCACTTTTAAAGGTGTTACGAATAAGAAGGGCCCAATAACAGATTGTTGAGGTAAAACTGATATATACAAATTGCAGTTAAATTACCTGAACACGTGAAAATGAGAGATACTGAGGCTACAGAGAGAGCGAAAGTAAGTGAATTTCAAGAAGAATTAGTACAAATGGAAGCGGTATTGAACGGAGACCATGAAAATGAAATTTATCCATACAAGCATGTGGAGAGCATGACAGTGGTAGGGGCTGTATAAATCTATTAGATAGTTTTCTTTAAAAAGTGACTGTATAATCAATTAAAACAAATTTTGGATTCAGTAATTATATTTCTCATATATATATATATATATATAAAAGAAGGCTTTACTGTAATCTTGAAACCAGGATTGGAACCATGTTCCTATATATATATATTTATTAATTTCTCCCTGGATTGGATCCAGCAGCTTGTGAGTAAGACATGTTAAGGAATTCTTGTTCCAGGCTGCTGCTGATAAATTTTGCATTGTTGATGAGGCCTTGATCAGGGGCATTGGAGATTAGACCATATTCCAGCCAATCTGCATCTAGATTCTTGTGTTGGCAAACCTGCTTGCATGTTCATGAATCAAGATCCTAATAATATATTTTCCCATCTGAGCTGTGAATCAATTAATTTCACCGGGAAATATTTCTTTTTGGTCTTGCACATTCATTAGGGGCACAGACAATATTGCATAGAAGACATATTTTTTTTTACAATCTACATGGAATCCGATATTAAGAATCAAAATAATTATGATGATTTGATCGATTGTTTAATCAATAATCCCAGATTAGAAATCAGCGCATATTGAGATATTTTAATTTTGAATTAAAACAAATATATTTTTATCATATTTTCATTGTAAAAAAAGAGTACATTAAATTGAACCCGAGGTTTACATTTTAATTAGTTATTTTTAAAAATAATTAATAAATCTCAAATTTAAATTTTATTATTTGTAATTTTTTTTAGACTGCAATCACTTTATATATATAACTGCATTAAGTTAATTGAAATTAAAAAAAAAAACTAATTCAATGAATTTGGAGGCTTAATCTCCATATTCATTTGTTATTTCCTACATGATAAGAAATTTTGAAATCATTACTATTTATTCCATTTTAATTAGTTGTTGATTTACGTAATAAAAATTTTAACCATGTTAGAAAATATTAAAATGATAAAAAAAAAAAGCGTGTCAGCTTATGCAAATTCAAATCATTGTAAACTTGAAAAAAAAATAATTGTCAAGGTAATTTCATGGTGTAACAAAAAATTTTGCCTTCTTCAATCAAGCATATTCCTTAAGAATTAAGAGTTACACAAAACTATACTAGTTATCCGATCACAACAGTTTAATTTGCATCTTCAAAACATGTCATATTAAAAAAAAAAAAAAAGAGATAAATTTATAAAGTGGAAAAAACATATGCAAAATCTGAAATTATTAACTTAAATAGCAGAAAATGATATATCTTAATGCAACTTTAGAAAGTAGACAAATATGCTGCATGTGAAGCACGATGCTAGTCCATTTAAAAATAACTCCATGCACACTCTACAGCTAGTTGTTCTTATTATATATGCTTATTTTTTTTAACAATATTAAATTTTTTTTTCATACTAATATTCTTTACCAATAATTAAATCAATTGGACGACCCTTCTTTTCTTTTCTTTTTTTTTTTCCAATTTTGAATTATATTCCAAACCCAAATTAAACGAATAGCAAATACTTTATTTGTTCTTTGGCATAATGTGGGCAATTGTTAATTAATTAAATTTTAAAGAAAAGAAAGAACTTTGTAAATTATGATCCTTGGGTACATACTATTATTATTATTATTATTATTATTATTATTAATTTAGAAATATAATAAATAGCAACATTTATTTTCATCGGTTTAAAATTTTTTTCATTTATATATATATATAAATATAAGGAAATTGAAAATGGAGGAGAGGTTTGGACTCGCCTTAACTCTAATAAAGAAGGATAACAATTTGTACTAAACTTACTAAAGCAAGTGTGATTTGATATAACATCATGAGTACGTAATTTTAAACTTTCATAAGTTAACTTTATTCGGACCATTACCCAACAAAAGAAAAACTTTATTTAGGACAAAATTTATCATCAATTTTTACGTAAAAAGAATATATATATATATAATTATCTTGATTTATGTTACAAATTCATTGAATCAACTTTTGCTTGTTGAATTCATAAAAAAAAAAAGAAGAAATAAACATTTTCTTGTTGGAAAATCAATTCACTGATCTTCAATGCTATTCAAATGCAAAAGGTGGTGATTTCATGTGCGACAAAGTATATTAAGAATCATACCCTAATTCCACTTTTTCTATATTAAAGAAAAATTTACTACAGAAAAGCAGGTTTAGGAGATAAAGTAAAACCCATGTGCATAAATAAAAAGTTAAACAAAAATCAAAAGAAATTAGTAAAGAAAGTCATAGTTTGACGATAGATGAAAAGAATATTACACATGTTGATTTTTATGTTAAAATTAGTCGCATTAATCATTTGAATTAAAATTGAGAATCAAATTTTAAGAAGACACTCAAATGAAATTTTTTAGATGAAAGTTATAAAATTTTTTATTAAAAATGATTAAATAAAAATTAAAATAAAAAATTAAAATTGATAAATTAAAAGATTTTGTTATATAAATTAAGAATATAAAATTTTTTTAAAAAATTTATATATATTTTAAATATATATATTTTTAGTAAAAATATTAATAAAATTTTTATCTCTAAATAAATATTAATTAAATTTAAATTAAAAACAATATTTTTAATAACTTTTTTACGTAGATTTTTACATTAAAATTTTTCAATTTATTGATTTATATTTTTATTAAATTTTTTATTAAATCATTAAAAAAATTCATAAATTTCACTTTAAAAATTTCATATAAAATTTGTCCCAAACTTCATCTTTTATTTAGTTTCAATGGGTCAAACACAAAAATACAACCATGAATTTTCAAACATCAATCTCTTATAAACATAAAACACAAACATAGCCATAAAAAAATAGCTTGAAACATTTAAAAAAATAAAGAAAAACAAGTTTTTCTTGGTTTCCCATTTGTATATTATTCTTTCCTTAAACAAAACTTCCATTTCTGTCCTCTCGCCTTGATTAAATCCTTATTCATATGTCAAGTCCTTTTAAGTGAAAAACCAGCTCATTCCATATTGCCAAAAAAACCAAAATTCCAACAAAAAAAAAGAAAACAACAACGATGGCAGCTGAAACAGGCTCTGCTACTTTATTTCCAATCAAAACAGTTGTTGTTTTGGTTCAAGAAAACCGTTCCTTTGACCACATGTTAGGCTGGTTCAACACTCTAAACCCGGTAATCGATGGCGTGACAGGATCCGAATCCAACCCCATTTCCACCTCGGACCCCAACTCCACCCAAGTCACCTTCCAAGACAACGCTGGCTACGTTGACCCTGACCCTGACCACTCTTTTCAAGCCATTTATGAACAAGTATCAGGCAAACCATGGGATGCCAACAACCCGGATCCGAACCCGGAGATTAAAATGAATGGTTTTGTACAAAACGCCGAACGTACAAAGCCAGGGTTGTCCGAGACTGTCATGAATGGGTTCAAACCGGAGACCATTCCGGTGTTTAAGGAGTTGGTGACGGAGTTCGCGGTGTGTGATCGGTGGTTTGCGTCGAATCCGGCGTCGACGCAGCCTAATAGGCTTTTCGTACACTCAGCTACGGCGCATGGGGCCACCAGCAACAACACACAGCAGCTTATCGAAGGGTTTCCTCAAAAAACTATATTTGAATCATTGGAAGAGAATGGATTTAGCTTCGGGATTTATTATCAATCTTTTCCATCTACTGCTTTTTACAGGTAATAATTCAACTTAACTGCTCTTGAATTTTTAATTTGGAAGTTTTACATTTAAGATTATAAATAATTTTTTAAAATTTTAGTGATTAAAATTAAAATTTAATAATATAATTAAAAAAAAATTAAAGATGAATATGAAACTGTAAAATAATATAAAAGCAGGCTACCAAGATGGGATATTGAAGTTTGAAAATTGAAATCATAGATAGGGAACCACTAAATTAAGAAGTTGAATAAAATTATAGATGGGGAACAGTGTTGTTGTTTTTATCTTACTTCATCCAAAAATAGGGATTGGCAAGTTTTGTCAAATTTAAATGAGATATTCAACGCTGCAAGTTTAGGATTTTGTTGCATTTTGCCAACTTCCAGATGAGGTTAAGTCGGTCTCTCTCATTGCTGCAATTTAAAAGTTTGTTTGCAAAATGGTGGTTTAGTTTGGCAACAACTCTGTAACGAGCCCATGGTTTGGTGGAGTTGTCACCATCTTCTGCTTATCCAAAACATTCACGATTCAATTATATTCAAAGGGCTCATATATTGAAAAACTATAAATCATGCACAACCACTTTCTTCTCTATGCTTATTATCTTAATCCGAACCAATTAAAAAGTCTTGATAGGTCATTCACCTTTTTTTTTTTTACACAAAAATATCGGAATTTAAAATTAAAAAAATTATAGATATTAAAATTTTTTTGAAAATTTTAATTTATCCCTATATAATAAATTCCAAATATTTTTTTAAGATTCAAACTTAAATTGATTTGTTCACTCTTGAGAACCATGTACAAAATTTACATCACGTTGAAAAATTTGTGGTTTTTTTTTTACCCAAATCATCGTTTTAAACCAAAATTCTTTTTTTTTTTTTGGGTAATTTTGTTCCTGGCTTTAGTTTATATGATACCAACTATAATGTTAAATTGAACTAAAAATTTGATTAAATTTTTTGGTATAATTATTTTTAAAAAATATATATTAAATTTGATATTTAAATCTAAATATTTACAATTCTTTTTATTCTTATACTGAGAAATTCATTATAAAAAAAGAAAAAAACGTGATGCCTATTTTTTTATAGCTTTTAGTTAGTTGACTAAAGTTCTCCTTTTTGTGGCCAGGGATTAGTTGACTACTTATGAGTTGGTGGCCTTGCCTGCCCAAGATGAGAAAATTTATTTCCCTGTGTCCTTATCTTATCTTTTCAAGTGATAGAATTTTTAAACATGTTTATTTTCATGTCATAAAAATTAATAAGAAAACCTTTTTTTTTTAAATTTTATTAATTTTTAGGGTCACAATAGCCCAAGAAAAGCGCCGACTTAGGTCAAGCTACCCCAATTAAAATCATTCTCAACACAACATGGGTCTCTTTGTCTTTATTTGGTGGGACACCCTCCCCTATGTATTCGAAAACATTAAAAGAATCTTTGAAATATTGACAATAAAAAAATCATGTTTGGTTCTTGAACATTAATCAAGTGTACGACATTTTCAAATTTAATATTAAAAATGGTTGATTTAGTTTTTTTTTTTTTTAGGTTCTATGGTTTTTTTAAGGTGGATTTTTTTTTATTTGATTCATAAGATTCCTCGGCTTATGGGTGCCATTTTTTTTTTTAAGTACATGCCATGTTCCCATTGGAATTTTCTTGCTTTTGTATTAAAAAATTTAATTAAACTATATAAAGTTACATATATCAAGTAAATTAAAATTTACATATATTTTTTAATATTTAAAGTTATCAAAATTTAAATTCTTATTATTAAAATTAAAAATTCAATACTTTATAGTATCAAATTATGCGATTATTGATAAATTAAAGTTTGTATGTTTATGCATACTTCTATGCATAAGAAAGAGTTTGATTATTTGACTTAAAGAGAAAAGATCAAAGGAAAAAAAATCCCAAATCTCAAATCCAAAAAGAAACAAGAAAAGAAAAGGTAAATCAATCTTATTATTGATCAGAATTAACTTGTACTGATAAAATGATTTTGTTATATATTTATATTGAGAATGCCAGGAACCTTAGGCAATTGAAATATGTGGACAATTTCCATCAATATGATCTAAGCTTCAAGCGGCACTGTGAGAAAGGGAAGCTACCAAATTATGTGGTGATTGAGCCGAGATATTTTGACATTTTAACAGCTGCTGCAAATGATGACCACCCTTCCCATGATGTTTCGGAGGGCCAGAGGCTTGTGAAGGAAATCTATGAGGCACTTAGATCAAGTCCCCAGTGGAATGAAATCTTGTTCTTGGTTATATATGATGAACATGGTGGTTTTTATGACCATGTCCCGACGCCTACCGGCGTCCCTAGTCCGGATGATATTGTTGGTCCTGAGCCTTATAATTTCAAGTTTGATCGCCTTGGTTGCAGGGTTCCGGCCATTATGGTTTCTCCATGGATTGAGCGTGGAACAGGTAAGTCCAACTTTCCTACAGCATTTTACCATGCACCAATGCAAGTTATCGTAATTTGATTGTTCTAAGTACAATTAACATCATTGAAGATTTAATGCAAGTTAGTTCAGTTAGTAAAAGGAGTTTCTTTTTCTTTTTGACAAAAGTTCAATAGCATTTTGGAAGTAAAATCTGAGGAAGAGATCAATTTGAACTACCAATAGAATGGTCTAATTGAAACTATATTGTTTCATCAATATTCAGTGCTGCATAGACCATCAGGGCCAGATCCTACATCAGAGTTCGAGCATTCCTCAATTGCAGCAACACTTAAAAAGATTTTCAATCTCAAAGAATTTCTAACAAAGCGGGATGCATGGGCTGGTTCCTTTGATATTGTTGTGAATAGAAGCACCCCAAGAACAGATTGTCCAGGTATTAAGCAATCAAAACTCTTTCCTACAGTTTTTTTTTTCTTTTTTTGTTGCTCATAACCTGATTGAAAGTATAATACACACAAATGTAGAAAAATTGCCTGAGCCTGTGAAAATGAGAGACACTGATGCAAACGAAACCGCGAAACTAAGCGATTTTCAGGAAGTACTAGTACAAACAGCAGCAGCATTGAATGGAGATTACTCGAAAGACATTTATCCATTCAAACTTGTTGAGAACATGACAGTCTCAACTGGTCTCAAGTATGTTGAAGATGCCTTCAAGAAATTCTGTGATGATGGGAAGAAAGCAAAGGTAATCAATGGAGCAGAGGATTCTGTCTCTGCTGATGCACCTACTAGGACAACTACCAAAACTTTCATGCAGAAACTCTTCTCTTGTTTGGTCTGTGATAACTGATTCCCAGTTTCTATCAGTCTTTTTCTACATGTTATGCATTATAATTTTGTGCTGCAATTTGAAGAAATTTGGGATATTTTTGAAGGACCATTTTTTTTTTTTGCTCTACTTTCTTCTCCCTAACCCAAACTTCTTTTAAAAAAAAAAGATTTCTTGGCTTTTTATGTAACCCTTGTTGTATTTATAATATTTATTGTAATCAAATGTATTGTAAGATTTAAATTGTTTGGCACATTTCAATGTACTTAAAATAAAATGTGTTAAAAAATTTATTGTTAAGGGCTTTGCCAATATTTTCTGAGTTTTTTGTGATATTTTTTTTGTAAAACATTAAGCAAAGTGCCAATTTGGTCTTTTTCTTAACAAATGACAACAAGCAGTTAGTATTACTAATCCGATTGGACGACAACATTATAGTCATGATTTTTTTATATTTAAAATTATCAAAATTAAAAATTTAATGTTCTATTAATAGCGTTGCAATTTTTCATATTCCTTACATTACTAAAATAATTTATCAATTTAAATTACAATTTATCCATCAACCTATCTTCTATGCAATATATGGAAATTGACTGACTTTGGGAAAAATTTCAATTTTAAAAAATACGTTTATTATTTTTATATTAAAAAAGAAAAAAAATGAAAATTCTAATTTGATAGGCCCGATAATTTTTTTCGTGGTGATGCGCCCCAATTATTATTTCAACTATATAATCCACTAAATCCATGCCTTTTTTGACCTTTTTCTTATTTCATTTTTTTAAAAGCAACAGAAAAGAAAATGGCATGGGACGAGCAGGAGATGCAACAGCGGCGTTGCTGCATATCCCACGAATTTTACAGTGCAGCGAGCAAAAACCTGGAAAAAATAGCCGTTATCCATGCCTCATCATCCAAGCCGTTAGATAGTGGCGTCCAGATTGACAGAGAGTTGATCAACGGTGGGAATCCTCCGGTGTACAAAGGCGATCAGTGTTTCACTTTCGCTAACCTTTTAGCGTCCGTTGATTGTCTCAGTTTTCGTCTACGTTCCATTCTTGATGGTGCCGATGACCCTTACTTGGTTAAACCCCAAAACCTAGGTAATTTCCTTTTTTTTTTTGTTATGATTTTAATTTTGTTTTTATTTAATGACATTCTGCTTGGGTGTTAGAAAAAGACTCGATAAAAATTACAAAGATGTTTTTTTAAATTAAAAAATGCGTAATTTAATTTAATAACTTATTAATTTTTGATCAATTATAGTTTTGTTTTTTATTCTTTGCTTCTTCTTTACTGTAACTTTCGATATAGCAAAGAGCAAGTATGAAAAATAACAACCAAATGGAGAATAAGAAGCTTAGTGAAAGGAATTTTAATTTTGCTTCTTAATTTTTATATGAATTAATGAAATAGGGTTTGATTATATATAATGTTAATAACGACTGCAAGAAGAATAAAGAGAGCAAGAATTAATTGGAAACATCAAGACTTGTTCACAAATGTTTTGTTGTTTTGAGAAGGAATTGATTTTTTTAATTAACCTTATTGGTCGTAATCTATTTCATTGAAGGTGATACTCCTAATGGCAAGCATTCTTTGCCTGTTCAAATGTCTGAGGCTTCATTGAATTTCATTCGAGGAGTTGGTCTGCATACTGAACATGAGAATATGTATGTACCTAAGATAGTTGGTCTTTTCATGCCACCTTCCGTGGAATACGTAATATCTGTTCTTTCTGTTTTAAAGTGTGGGGAGGCTTTCTTGCCTCTTGATCCTTCATGGCCGAGAGATAGAATATTGTCGATTGTGGATTCTTCAAATGCTGCTCTTGTTGTAACATGCGGATCTTCATTTGGGAAAAGAGGTTCTGAGCCACTTGATCAATCACATTGGCTCTTAGAATGCAGTTGTCCTGTCTTGCGCTTTTCAATGGAGGAAAGTATTGAACAGCATAATATTCAATTGAGTCTTGTATGGCCTTGTGAAAATGAAAGAAGAAGATTGTTCTGTTATGTAATGTACACTTCTGGATCTACTGGAAAGCCCAAAGGTGTATGTGGCACAGAGCAAGGTTTGTTGTTATCACAAATTGAATACTACCATAGTGTCTATATACAGCTAGGCTACTGGCAATAGTTTATTGGTCTTATCTATTGCATAATATGAATCTACATTTTCTCTTTCATCTTGTCAATGATAATAACTTCTTCTTCTTCGAAAATGTGACTGTTTCACCATATCCTTGTTCTAGTACACTTTTAAGAAAAAACCTAACTTGATTTCTGCAATTAATTGGCTAGACAAAATTAGATAGAGCTGATAACCTGATAGAGACTTCCTGAGTACTAATCCTGAGAGATTAAAGTGATATTTCATGGTTCACAATGCCATTAGCTACCTTTCTCTTTCTTACAGTCTTAAACCATCCACTTTAGCTTCTATGGGAAGCAGTCTTTGGAGCTTGTGTTTTGTTGAACTAAGGAACAAAATAAGTTAAGAAATTTTGGCAGTAATCGGTATTGGATAACTGGAGGTAGTGCATTTGGATTTAAATACAATTTACTCCATGATTATGTTCCCATGAAATGCCAATACAATTGATGCTGTATTTTCTTATCATGTTGTTAATAGATTATTGTATGGTTAACCAATTAATCCCTTCATCATTTTGAGATACCATATATCCAGAGCGTTTGAATGAGGAAAAGCTTAGTTTCCCAGTTCTTTTGATTGTGATGTGCTACAATATAACTCAAACCAGTAAGCCTTAATCCTAACCCAGTTGGCTACAAAAATATATTTTCCCCATCCTGTTAAACCCTGTGATCTTCATTCTGTATCTACCTCTTTTTATTTGCATCATTGCATGAAGAGAGGGGGTTTAAGAGAGATCAAACAACAAAGTGGATATAAAGTTTATGTATTTTGCTCTAAATGATACTTTCTTTCCTGATGAAGTGCCCGTTTAACATCCTCAATTAAAGTTATTTTCTTTAGGTCAGTTATTCTACTATTGCTTTTGCATGTGAAGTTCAATGTGATGATGCTACCTCCTCTCCTAATTTAAGGTCTTTTAAATCGCTTTTGGTGGATGCAACAACTATATCCCATGCATGAAGAGGAACTTCTGTTATTCAAGACATCAATAAGCTTTGTTGATCATCTGCAAGAATTTCTTGTTGCTTCTCTTACTGCTTGTACACTGGTCATACCTCCTTTCAATGAGCTAAGGCGAAATGTTTTTTCTATTATTGATTTTCTCCAGGTAACCATTTTGTACTTCCTTATCATCCTCCTAGCTTTCTTAAGTTAATAGTTGAATTCACATTGTTATATAATGACTGCTCTTCTTGAAATGCTGCAAAGGTTATTAAGTTGGCATTGAATGACTAAAACTTTTGCTTTTCTCTTTTGTGCTGTAGTCATAGGCCTATTACAAGACAAGTCATGAGCTGAAGAGAACTCTTTGTTCTTTAGTGTTAAATTTTACTAGATGGTTACCTAGAAGGCTAACATGGCGATTTAATTCTGGTCTTGGCAGCAAACATGTTATCATTTTCACTACTTAGGACTTTTAATGCAATCAGCTGTCGATAGCTTGAAACGATTGGGTGGGATGGTTGAAGCCTTCTGAGTTGAGCTGTCATTAGCTTGTTAAAGACATTTGTGATTTGGTGAAAGTGAATGATCTTAGGTTATACTTGTATGCTTGTATTGATATCCTTATAAACTTATCAACTCCTTGAACAAATTTACCACATAAAGTATGTGCATGAAAGTAAAAAGTAAGATTGATAGAAAATTGAGAGAATATGGAAAAAGTATGGATTAACAAGAGATATAGTTCAGAAAAAAAATCTGGAGGATGTGCCCTAGAAAATAGATGTATGTCAAGAAGAACATGAGCTAGTTCTTGTGGTCCTCTGTGAATATTTTCTTTGAATTAAAATATGTTATAATCAAAGTGACCTGGTATTATGTTCACAGGGTTTTGGCATGAATTTTGTGGAGTTTCTGCTTTAAGTAACATTATTATTTAAGATATCTTTTTCTAAAAGACTGATCTTTTTGCTTCTTCTCTGTTCTGGATGTGATATGTAAATATTTCCATTTACCTTTGCTTGTTAGCCAGTCAAAGTATTTGTGATTTTTCAACTTATTTGGTATTGAGTATTTTCGATGCTGTTCCAGGCTTACAGCATTAATAGGCTCATAGCTGTTCCTTCACTTATGAGGGTGATCCTTCCTGCCATGCAAAGTCAACATGAAATTCAGATTTCAAGTTCTCTAAAATTGTTAGTTCTAAGTGGTGAAGTCCTTCCCTTATCCTTGTGGAACATGCTTTCCAATTTATTACCCAAGACCTCTGTTCTGAATTTGTATGGGAGCACAGAGGTATTATCTCATTTTAGGTTGTTTCTACTTCAACAGATTAAATCATGATGTTTGGCCGTATTCGTGTGATGAGGAAGTTGATAATTTCAATCCATTACTTAAGTCTTACATGCATCTTCATGATCTTTTGTTGTCACTATCAATTTGTTATTGTGCCTTATGTATCGTACATTCATTGTTAAGGCAAAGGTTATTCTTTTTCCTTTGTGTCAGAGGCCACCAAAGACTCCTTGTATATTCCTTTCATTCTTTTTCCTTTATCATGCTTTTTTCACATAAGTTGACATTGCTAATGTATGACAAATTATAAGCATTGAACTGTTCATGTGACTGTATTTAATGACTTAAGAAATGCACCTACCATCTTTGCCTTAATTTTTTTTTTTTAATCTCTGATATACTTTTATTAGAGCAAATTACATAGAAATCTTGAGATTTAACTATAATTGCAAAGAAGGACGTTAGTTTGAGGAAACTACATCCCGATATATTTATTAAACCAAATCCTTCATCGTTAGTTTCTTTGCTGAGCACTTTCTCCCTCTCCTTTCAACCAAGACAAACCACTAAAGAGTTATTTTATGGATACCAACTCATCAAACAAAGCACTTATTTTATGGATATTTTTCTCTTCTTATTTGGCTGTTGGCGTTGAATTTTGCCATGTGGGTTTTGTAAGAAATAGAAACACGAATGAAGTAGGCCCTAATGAGAAGAGAAAATTTGAGCTTTGCTTGTTGCACAATAAGTCTTGCTTGCCATGCTTTTAGCCTTAAAGAATTTCGAGATTTTTTTTTTTTTCATGTTGTTTGTCTGGAATTTTGTTTGTTTGAATTTGAATTTGAATTCTTTATTATACAAATTTAGAATGAAACTACTTTTAAATATGGGGGATATCTAAAGAGTTCCAGTTGGGTTCCCCTTATACCAGCTATTTTTTTGCAAAACTTTTTTGATAGTGTTAATATAACATATATTAATATCTGAAAATTATTTAAGCTTTTGAAATAATTTTTATGGGGTTTTTGATTTTTCATGTGCTCATATATAATTCTTTTGAGTGCTCATTTTTACTTAACAAATAATTGTATGGCATAAACAACTGTAGATATTGCTCTTCTCCAGTTTTTTTAATTACCTTTTACACAAGTTTCTTAGAAAATTTAACTAAGTACCTCAAACTTGACTCCTCAAAATCTGACTTAGCAAAAATGAAAATTTGCAGCCAATATTAATTTTTCACTTTTTAATAAATTTGCTAGTTGATTATTCAGTTGCTTAAGATATATATATATATATATATATATATATATATATGTGTGTGTGTGTGTGTGTGTGTGTGGTTAAAGAAAAAGAATTCCAATTTTTGGCAATGTAGCCTTTGCTTAGTTTTTTTTTTCTTGCCACAAATTTTCTTTTTTGCTTTGTAAATTTCTTCTGTCTACACAAGCAGAGAAGAATAACTTTCTTTCCAATTGTGCTTGCCAATATCGTTTCCTAACAAAAGGTTATATTGAGTATTAATTGAGGTATACATAATGCCTTGTTGGCGTTTTAACAGCTACACATGGCTAGTTTTATTTGTTATTTGCTGACCAAAATTGTGGACTGGAATGTAGATTTATCATACTAGTGTCCTGTGTAATTAAGGTAAAACCTTAAGGAATTATGTGTAATTTACCTGATTTATTATTGTCATCATAGTAATTATTTCTGTAGCACTCATTTCCATTGGCTGACATCTGAACTTCTGAATTAAGGTATCTGGAGATTGTATGTATTTTGACTGCAAGAGGTTGCCATCAATTTTGGAGATGGAGAAACTAAAAAGTGTTCCAATTGGTTTGCCTATTTCTAAATGCAGTATTGTACTTATTGGTGAAACCGGTAATCCTAATGAGGGAGAAATATACATTAGAGGTATCTGTGTTTCTACTGGATACTTTTCTGAAAATGCTATTATACCTTTGAACAATGAAAAGTTGCACCAGAATTCAATTTGTAAGTGTTCTATGGAAGAGTGTGGAAGTCAAGTATATTTTAGGACTGGTGATTTTGCTCAACAGTTACCAAGTGGTGACTTGGTTTTCTTGGGGAGAAAGGACCGTACCATAAAAGTTAATGGCCAACGCATTGCTTTGGAAGAGGTAGAAAATACACTAAGGGGGCATAATGATGTCATGGATGCTGCTGTTATATCTCATAAGGATCAGGGAGAAGATGCACTCTTTGTAGCAGTCGTAGCATTAAGAGAGAAGGAAAAGTCTGGTGAAATGTTTAAAACGTCCATCAGAAGCTGGATGATTAGTAAACTTCCTCCAGTCATGGTTCCCAGTCGCTTTGTCTTTGTGGAATCGCTGCCAATGTCTTTCAGTGGAAAAGTTGACCTCTCACTATTGGCAGACTCAATATTCTACCACAAGCATGTTCAAGATGAGATTAGTGACATTGGGGGTTGCAATCTCATTCAAGTTATAAAAAAGGTTTGCTCTGTTTCTACTTTTTCCCTTTTTTTTTTTTGTGGCACCATGATTTCCTTAGTTTCTTCCTTAGGTTAACATCTTTGGAGAAATTATTGGAAGTTTGTACTGTGGATGTATCAAAAATAAAGGCAGCCATGTAGAGGAGGGACCCCATATGTGAATTTTCATATAGAGATTAATTTAATGATTTAGACTAAGTATTTACAGTGTTTCTTTTTTTTTTTATTTTTAACATTGGGTGAAGGAGTTCATTATTTGAAAAAAATTGATTAATCTTGAAGTCTTACTAGTTATGTTGCATGAATGAAGAAAGTAATAATGAATGCTTAAATATTTTAAGCTTTGATTCAATGTGCTCTGTTGAGAGGATTAAGCTTATTTTATGAATATTCTTCAGGCATTTTGTGATGCTTTGATGGTCGAAGATGTTTCAGATGATGATGATTTCTTTATGATAGGTGGTAACTCCATCGCTGCAGCACACGTTTCTCATAATCTTGGGATTGATATGAGATTGTTGTATACCTTTTCAACTCCATCTAAGCTCCTAGTTTCTCTCCTGGAGAAAAAGGGACCAAAGAGTACAAATTTTGGAATCAATGATATCCCGAAATCGATTATGGAACCAGACAAGGGAGATGTATTTTCTTTTCTTGAATCTGAAACTCCTAATCCCCTTGGCTTAAAGTTAGAAAGAGCATTGTCATGGACTCCTTATGAAAGGAATGATGATCAAGCTGTTAGGTCTAAACGATTGAAAGTGGATTCAAATAAATATTATGTTGCGGAGCCTGTTCATTTGTTCAGTGGATGTCCGTGGAATTCTGCATCAATGCCCAAGTCATGTTCATTTAGCCGCTGCAACAGGGTTATGCTTGAAGATGGATACATGGTCAATGGTACCGGGCAATTAGCTCAGTTGGTGGAAGTTTCAAGAACTAGAACAGGATATATGCTAGAACTGTGGAAAGTTCACATGGAGTCCTGTGTTGATGCCTCACCACTTGTCGTGTTCAAAGATTCTGATATTTATTTATTTGTTGGATCTCACTCACATAATTTCCTCTGCGTTAATGCCAAAAGGTATGGATCTCACTATAGTCCCTTAGAGAAAAGAAATGAGTTAATTATATAATCATTCACTAGCATATCTTTACAACTACTTCATTTTATAATTGACTCTTATTATTAGCTTCAATTAATTTAGACCAATTTGAAATTTTCTTATTGCTGTTACAATATTTCATTTCAGCTCTAGATGTACTCAATCACCATCTTCCCCTTTAAGAAGTATTGATGTATATGGTGTTACGGTGGTCGTTCTGGTTAATAGAAACAATTGTTTAAGTTGATATGTAGCCATTTAACCATAGTGAATCCCACATTTTTGTGTTAACTGAAAATTAGAAATGTGGAAGTGATGAATGAGATACGCCCAATATGAATGTACATACTCAACTTCAATATTCTTTTTCACCGGTCAAATGAAAGTTCTTAGTAATTCCCATCTTTTTTGTTTTTGGGTGTTTTTCTTTTTGTATGTGTGTTTTATTTCAAAAACTTAATGCTTCAGTTCTCTAATAGTTAGACATAGGAAGCAACCAGTGTGGAAAATTCCTGAGATTTATCTGACTAAATATTGTTGTCTCTCTCATTGGAGATGTGGCTTCCTTGGTAACAAGAGCTTCATGGATGACTTATGCTGCAGCTGGTTTTATTCATCATCAAAATGCTCTTGAAAGTAAAGGATAAGGAATCATTGATTTATGGACTAAATATATTTCATGGTCAGAGATGTTGACTTATGTGTGTATAATTGAACTTTTGAGAAATCCTCTACTATTGTTATTTCCAAGTTATTACGAACATGATATATATATTCTATGGAACCATATACCAGACTGCCCGTATCTTATATTACCAACTTTTGAGGGCTGTTAGATTAGAGATTCTAATTCTAAATTGATGGTCACTGTAGTATTTTTCATCATTCAACACAGATTGTTTTATCTAATATCCAATCCTGTTTATTGGGCAACCTTTCTAATACCCTCAGAGTAAAATTTGCTAGATGATCATCTGAAAGATTGGGAAGAAATTTTGGAATTTGACCATGCATGATGAATTAAATATTTGAACATTTCCTTATCTGCTATTCATGTTCTATCTCAACCATTGTAATACTACTTAATCTGGTTTAGTGGTTCTATCCAGTGGGCAACCAGACTGGAGGGACGAGTAGAAGGTTCTGCAGCAATTGTTGGTGACTTCTCTCAGGTTTGTCATCATTTCTTTGTCTGTTGTTCTTCACCATTTAGATTCCATTTGCATCTGAGCATTAAAAGATTTTTAATGTTTCCTGCATGCTTGATTTCAATAGGTGGTTGTTGGATGCTATGATGGGAACATATATTTTCTTGAATTTTCCAATGGAAACATCTGTTGGACTTTCCACACTTCTGGTGAGGTATGTTGTTTCAGAAGCTTTACCATGTTTTCAGTTTTTGTTTTGTCTGAGATAAATGTGCATTGATCAGGGAATAGGTTTTCTTGACACTTAGGAGTGGTGAACTGGTTAGCTTGTTAGCTTTTTGGTCCATTTGGCATCCTGTTTGAGACATTTAGTGCTTACAGTTTTCTTTTGACTTTTCCTTTATTTTTTACTTATTCAAGACAATTTTTTCTGAAAAGAAAAATGAAATAGTTATTTTGTGTGTATTTTTTTAGTATATTGCAGATACGACTTTCTGATATTTAGGGAGCATTACATACGTGGAAACTTTGTAAAGTTTCTTATTTGATGATACCCTCACACTGTAGCCAACCAAATCTTTTAATGAGATTGGGATTAAATAGATGGAAAAAAAGTTGATAAATTCTATCTTGTTGGCTATTGAAATGTTAGATGCAATTAGGCAAAACCATATTGGTGTGTTCTTTTGATTTTCAAGCTTAAAGTGGGAAGATTTCCATGGAGATATTCAGGGTTGGATGGACTTTACTAGCTAGTCTATACTATATTGTTAGGATCTTTTAAAATATTCTTGACCTACTAATAATTTTGCATTGAAACTTTAAAGCTTCTTATATATATATCAACAATGTTCGTCAATGATGGTTTATTTTTGGCAGTTACAGTGGATATAAATTTACTCTTTTCATGTCTGCATGAAAAGATCAATGTTTGTTTGAACTTTGAAATGGCTTGATGCTGTTGAATCATACTGAATTGTGCTGTTGAATCTTTTTTTTTTTTTATTTAAATTGCAATCAAGGGTCATAACTCAGACTGTGCTAATTAAGTATGGTTAAAGTTAAATGAGACCTGTTTACTCAGCCACCCCTACAAATTTCATGATGGTTTATTCCTTCATATCCTATTTGTTGGATGTGAAAAATGAATAGAACTGTTACATGAGGCTGATGTGATCATCATCCTTAAAAATCTCAATAAGTGAAGGCTCATTTTTGGCTTCATAACCTATTTTATGGGACATGGTAATGTATAAGATTGGAAAAAAGGAAGAAAACTTCGATGATAAGTCTTATGATTGACTCTAAAGGCCTTTTGCGATTAATGATTAATAATAACTTAAATATGCTTGTGCTCTATCTTTTAGCAATATGGAGCTTTTTTAAATTTAATCACTTGTCTCGAAAGAATTGGATTAGAAATAATAGAAACATTTAATTGAAGCTGCAGTATTTCAGCTTCTCTGTTTTTCCCTCACTTGCACGCTTTCCATCATATTGAAGCTTTAATCTCATTTTTCTTCGCTGAGAATTGATACTATATTTATACAGTTCCTTGTAAACCAAATTCTGGTTTTTATTATACTTAGTAAACATTTTATTCCCTTCCCTGATGCTATTATTGTTGTTGAACTTTTGTTTTGTGAATGTTTTCAGGTGAAATGCCAGCCAATCGTGGACATATATAGGGGATTGATCTGGTAAGAGTTTCTCTGTTTCATGATTTCTTTTATCTTCACCATACTCCTATTTTCATTCTTTTTCTTTAATTGTATATAACCTCTCCATATTCCTTAAGCTAAACCAATTTTTCAAGACTATGGTTTTCTTCATTTGTATCAGATGAGCATGGATCTGTAGAATTTTTTCCTCATGAAATTGAGTTGGAATGATAACAGTTTTACCAACATCAGTGTCTGCATTTCGGATTGTTAGTCAACTTCTATTATTTGGATAATTTTTGTTTTATTATTTAAGAAAGCAGGAAACCTGCTAAAGTAGTACATACAAACAAAGTCAATGACTGCCCCCTATATCAAGACCCCAGTTCTCACATAAAAGATTGTCAATCAAATTCGGGAAGCTTAAAAGTATTTAATTCTTTATTGTGGTTTGATACTTGATAGTCTTGTTCTCTTTTCTATTGGGTGATTACTTAATCATCTTTTGTAATTATAAGCAAGCATTTAAAGGTCTCATTGCTGGCACTATTATCCATTTGTCGTTTTTGTTTTGCTATGTGCAATTTAAAGTTTGGTTAGTAAGGAGTCCTATTTTTAAGAAATGATCTTCATGATCAAGATGGTGACAATATAATGTAGCTATCTAAACTTGGAAGTCCTTATTATTTGCATATGACTTGAAAATTTTCAAGTAATTCTAGAGAATTTGAAAGAAGATATGTTTCAGAAAATTGTGGATGTCAGCATGTACGTTGCTTTATGAACAGTGTTTGGTTAGGAAAAATTTCCATTTTTCTAGGTTGATAATTGTGGCTGGGGTCTTAAAAGAGAAGTATGGGTGGGACTTAGGGTCTTACTGTATACTAAATAATTGGAAGGTGGTTCTTGGAAGAAGTTTCTTTCTTTTCTATGCAGCTTTAGAAATAAAAAAGGTATGTGTCAGTGATTGCTGCTTGTGGAGTGAGTGACAGGTTTGATATTAGATGTATTGTTGGTGATTTCCTCTAGGAATTTTGGATTGTAACTACATTTTAGTTTCTCTATTGCATTTCCTACTCATCAGAAGACATTGACTTTTTTGTTATGTTATTAAAAGGTGATAAGTCTTCCTTTTTTTCTTCTAACCTTGAAAGTATCGATAGATACTATCGAAGAACAGATGCTATGAATCAATTAATCAAGTTCATTTTGCAAAAACATCAGTGGAAAAAGTGATCTATTTGTTGTCATTTATATTTATACAACAAAATATTATGATCATTAAGGATTCAACGGGACCATTACTCATGAATCAAACAAAGAGAGAGGAGGCAGGCTCTGTTGAGTTCTTACACTTTCATGCCTATAACTTAGTTCATCCCATTATTACATATTATAGGGACAAACCCAATCCAGAATATGAGTTATAAAAGAAAATACCTATTAAAACAATCACAGAAATACCAGTTACCGTACCTATCATCCAAAGAGGAATCCTTCCAGTAGCATCAGTCATTTATCCCGCTTCCCTCCACATTTCATCAAGTGGTCATGCTAAAGACATAAACAGTCATAGATAATTATGAGATATCATATGGATTTAAAATCAGTTTAAAGAGTCACTCTTTGTTCAATTCTCCAGTTAGAGGGAGCACATGCCTAGTAGTGATTTCTTGATTCTTGCTGGAAATGCTTAAAATGCTCATTGTCAACAACTTGACATGAAACCCAACCAAATGAATCATTTTGTTGGAGTGCTGTTTCTTGATATTTGGTTAATGGTTGCAATGTGGTCACTAATACCACATGAATATCAATTATTTTGATTTCTATTGTAATATGGTCTATCAACTATTGTGTTGACAACTTGTACAACCGGTACTTTGATCATCTTAATATCATTGTTGTCATTAATGCCATACGGTATCAATTACTAGAAATTTGTTATCATTTTAAGTTTCAAAATTAAGTCATATTATTTTCTTCAATTTTGATATTCTTGGACCATTTCCAATATCCCCCTAAATTTTGATGAGCTTTCTGTCCTTATTAATTGAATCATGAAATTTATGCTGGTCTTCTGTCCTTTACCATGAGGTGTAATCTTGCCCATGCATTATGTATAAACTAGACTACACTTTCCTTGTTTCCATTTCAATTTATTTGTTCTTTGGCATCATCAGTTTGACCATATTTATATGATCTAATCTCTGAAAGAACTATATGCAGGTGTGGGTCACATGACCATAACTTATATGCTCTTGATTATAGAAATCAGTGCTGTGTATATAAGCTTTCTTGTGGTGGTAGTATATTTGGGTCACCTGCAGTTGATGAGGTAAGGGTTTGCTTTCAACTTACAAGTATATATTAAACCTTTAATTTCATTTGTCTGATGGAATAGTTTTTGAGCATCATATATGGTCAATCTTCAAATACTGTCTTTAATTATTGAATTCTTTCTAACCACCCAATGGTACTTTGTGTGCTTTAGAAGCTATGTGGTTTTCTCATATCTTATTTCTCAATCTATTGCCTTTTTTCCCTAGAATATGACTTGCATTAAATTCTTTCATTTTATTTCGTTGTAAATCCTGTCCGTTGGTTTGTGGCATTTATATGTGTAATCTCTGGGTAATTTCACTCAGTGGTATCTTAATAGAGAACATCATAAGTTTATTAATGATATTATGGATTTGTTCTTGTAACCGGCCAGGAGAAGAAAAACTAAAACACTGCAGAGGAAATAGAAATTATATTCAGTATTAGAAGGATAGAAATTACAACCCTAGTTGGGAAAAGATCCTCTTTGCTACTTAAAAAGTAATGGAAGTTTTCACTATTTTATCTAAGGGTAAATAATGCACTTTCACCTATATATATAGTTTCATAGGCTGTAGGCCAAGGATAAGACCTCAACCCCTTTATTTTAGAAACAAAATAAACTAAGCCAAAGGAGAGAATCAAGGAAATTCAATCCTCTTTACAGCTAGCAAATCAAAATAAAAAACTATCCAAAAATAAATTTAAATGACAACAGGATATCTGCCATCTTCTACAGTTCTTAAATTAGAGGCTTTTTTTTTTTTTGGGAATTTATTAATTGCTTAGAGTGATACAGTACATAGCTCTGAAACAAACTAATACAGGGATATATCCAAATTCAGCTCTGATTCTAATTTTCAATACCATGGGTTAAAAGCTACTGGGGCAGGACTGGATAACTGGGTTATGGTTACTTTATAAATGGTTTAAAAGGGTTTGCAGGATTCTAGTCTACGATCTTAGGTGTAAAAACATTCTTAATGTTTTCTCATGGCATACATAGAGCACAAAGGACATAGCTTATTTGTTGGAATTAGCCTGAATTCTACTTTACTAGAGAGGTTATTTCTAGATAAAATATTTTGGGTGGGTGGTCAGGGTCAGGGAATTAGCAGTATACGGGTCTAAGTAGCTCATCAGCAAATTTTCACAAATGGCTAATGATCATGTAGGGAGCTTGAACTAAAAGCAAATAGAAATTGCATTACTACTCTTATTAGATTTTTGTTTTGTTTTATACTTGTAGGGAAATCTGCTGTTCTTATTGTTTGACTCATGAAATCTGTAGTATGATAGATTGTACTGTTCTTCTTCCCCTAACCTATGGTTGTATATATTATGAATAACTTTTTTGTTCAATCACATTTTATATTGGACTATAGATAAGTCAATCACTCTGTGTGTTTATCATCACTTGGTATACTTTGTGGTTTATATTTCAATTAGGAACATCATGCTCTTTACGTGGCATCTACTAGTGGCCGTGTGACAGCCATATCAATTAAGGTACAACAGTTTGTGACTTCTATCATTTTCTTGGAATAAACCGTACATTCTTAAAGGGTGTATTTGCTTCAATAATAGCAAAATTTGCTTTCTTTATATGAAAGGATGTCTTAAATAACTCTTCTCTGGACATGACATAGCTGAAGATCGTTCTTAGTTGAATTTATAAGTAGTTACTGCCTTTATCATTCTACAGTCAACAAGGTGAATCACTTTCCTTTTCGGGTGTCCTATGCTCTTTAATTACAGGAGTTGCCATTTTCTACTTTGTGGTTGCATGAACTTGAAGTGCCAGTATTTGGGTCACTTTCCATCAGTTCACCAAATGAATATGGTACTTTTCTGTGTTTTCTCTTTTGCCAATGATGTGATAAAATTCTTTCTGATAGTTGGTCCTTCTATGGTATTTGTCTTTTCATGTGCTATTTTTAATTTATTGATCTTGTTTCTATGTAGTTATTTGTTGCTTGGTGGATGGGCATGTTGTTGCGTTGGATTCAAGTGGATCCATTATTTGGAAGGTTCACATTTAAAATCCATCATGCTTGTTAATAGTTTAAAATGTTGTGACTAATTAGGGATGCAGTTTGTTTTTTACTAAGAAAATACTCCTGGTTCTCTTCCTAACTTATATATGTGATATGGACTTTTGTCTTGCACAATGATGTTGCTTTTGCTGTTTTTATCACTTTCATGCTGACTATTTTTTCTTCAAAAGCATTATTATCTTTCTCCTTATCAACTATTTTCTAATGCAGTGGAGAACTGGTGGTCCATTATTTGCTGGAGCTTGCATATCTTCTGCACTTCCTTCTCAGGTAATGCATCTATTGGACTTGAAATTAAAATTTGTCAAGTTTATTATAGACTCTAGATGGTGAGTCTTCGTCATGATTTCTGTGGCTTGATGCTAGTTTGAGTGTTGGGGAAAGGAGTTGAGTAATTTCACTCGATTTAATGCCCATAGTTTCTTCAATTATATCTATTTATATCATTTTGTGATTCCACTTGTAAATTTTCTAACTGGCACAGACCATTAACTTGGTAGAAACTTATGGTTTGGCTGAGATTCTGTTTCCTTAATTGTCCTGCAGGTGGTAGTTTGTTCCAGGAACGGAAGTGTTTATTCCTTTGAAATGGTAAGGGTTAGAATTGATTTGGTGTGTGTAGATAAGAAAAAGTTAAATTTTCACCACCACTTATGACACTGCTTTTCTGGTTCAAGCACCACTCCTTTTCTGCTTTTTTGCAATGACTTGAGGATTTAAGCTCATGCCTGCAAAAGTGTCAGAAAATCAGTCAGCAGTGCTGATCTAGTGATAATTATTACTCCATCCCAATTGAATGTCTTGTCTCTATACTGAGATGTGGCTAATTCACCTTTTTTATTTGAAATTGATTCACATATTCAAATACTTTCCTTTTTTCCTTAAAGCCATTAAATCTTAATATTAAAGTGAATTATTAAAATTTCAATGCAAAAACCTAAAGTCAAAGGTTTCTCCTAAAATCTGTTTCCAGCTGAAGTAATATTATTGTTTTACATTTTATCAAAGGTAGCCTTGTGATGGATTTTGTATAGGAAGATAAGTACAGAGGTAAAGATTTTGAGCTCTCTGCCTGTCTGTTATTCATCTGTAAAGGCTCAAACTGAAATAATGTTACCAAAAGAAAAAAAACCTGGTGACATCAGTTGATTCGATGACAAAGATTTGAAAATGAAAGAGTTTATGTTCTATTTTACTTCTGTTGAGATGATTTTTTTCATGACATTAACCACTACGGATGCTCACTTCAGGAAAAAGGTGAACTACTCTGGGAATTAAATCTTGGAGATCCAATCACTGCATCTGCTTATGTTGATGAGAATTTACAGCTGGTATCAAATCCTTCGAATTCAGTTGACAGGTAAACAAACTGCAACAGATCTTATCAGATCTTTTGCAAGCATTTTTTCTTAGTCAAGTTCATTTGCTATACTTTGCAGATTGGTTTGTGTTTGTACAAGCTCTGGAGGCATATGTTTGCTTCGAATCAACTTGGACGAAGAGAAGGGTAATAATCGAAGAAAATATACGGTGCAGGAGTTTGCAAGGCTTAAGCTAGAGGGGGAATTGTTTTCTTCGCCTGTGATGATCGGTGGCAGGATTTTTGTTGGGTGCAGGGATGATTATTTGCACTGCATCGCTGTTAAAACCCATGAATTAGTTGGATAATATCAAGCCAAGGTTCATGTTTGATGTTCAGATCTGGAAAATAGGTTTATATTGGCTAACAGTTATCCAAAAATGTCTTAAATGCAGACAAGTAGACACATGTTTGGAGTCGGTTGGAGATGGATTAGTAACGATTACCATTTTTTTATTTGAAGTTGTCAGAATTTAAATTTTGATCGATAAATTTACTGAGTCCAGAACTCTATTAATAGATCATGTAGGGAATTTAACAACCTTTTAATATCAAACAATTCTTAAGAAATTCTTGATAATGCCATCTAAGTGCCACAAGCTTACGGAAAATTGTAATTTTGCCCCACTGAAATTGATTAGATATCTCATTTTAAATTCGATTATTTTATCGATTATATTACAAAACTAAAACTAGCAAAGATTTTAAGGAAGTTTTGCTTTCCTTATTTGAGAATTTATATTTTGATAATAAATACTAATTTTATTTGATAGGTTAAGATCGTAAATTTATAATTTGTATCGTTTTTATTTTGTGTAATGTAATAATGTAATCAAAATTAACAAATTTCATCTTGAGGTATGTATATTCTATAAACGTAATGCTTCCCCTTAAAAAAAAAACATATAATTTTCGGTTTGCCTTATTTTTCATTTGTTCTTCTCATGAGCCAATCATATATTTTTTTTATGTAATCAATCTTAATTTCTAGATGATTGTTTGTTTGTTTGTTTTTGGGGCCTTCTGATTTCCCCTTTTAATTTGTTTGTTATTCAGTTTTGGTTGTTTTTTTTCTGCTAAGCTTATTACCCTCCCACAGCCAAAAAGACTGGCAAAGCTGGTATCCCCCAACACTAACAAAAGCAAAACAACTCCGCTTTCAACGCTATTTTTTCACTTTGTTTTCATTCCTTCCACCTTGATGGGATACCCAGATTTCCTTCTTCAGCTCTAAATTAATGTCCAACAAATCATACCAAAAAAAAAAAAAAGAAAGAAAAACCCGAAACAATAATCAGTCTCTACAATATTAAAAATGCAAGAAAGAGAACAAGGAGATGCCAGAATTTACATTGTCTCAACCCTTTTATTTGCCTGCGTTGTTGCAGGTGGTGCATTTCTATGCCTTTACATGTTCCGGCCTGAACCAGAATCTGAACCCTGGTATCCAGTTGTAGGGATCATTCTTATAGGCATTCCCTGGATCTTTTGGATTGGTACTTACATATACAGGTGTTGTGCACATTGCTGTTGTCAAAGCAATGGAGGAAATGTTAACAGGGTGCAAAGCAGCTTAACGAAGACACAGTCTTATGCTTCTGCAGGACCTGTAACCAGATCAATGCATTCATCGGAAAATGAAGATTCACCATTGAGATCGCCGAGTGGTGATCATCGTCGTGTTCATTTCGAACAGGTTGCTGTGATGGGAAGTAGCAAGTATAATCAGAATGGCCGCGGCGGTGAAAGTCCGCGTGAGGATGCAAAAGGGTTTCATGAAACAGAAGGTGAAGGTGGAGAAAATTCTCATGACAACATTACATCTGATAATGATTATATTTCAGCTGCATCTAGGAAAGGCGAGGCACCACTAATCTTATCAGCTTCAACCTGAACGAGGTTTCCTTTTTTCCCTGTTGTCCATATATTCATAACCTGAGAAACATATTGAGACCCCTAGTTCATCATGTTCTTCCACTTTGCCTTATCGATGCGGAGAGGCAGTATCATTTGTCAATGGAGAAATGACCTTAGAATCTTCAAGGGAGAGGATGATCATATGGCCATGCTTAATGGAAAGATGATCATATTGGGGCTCAGAATTGGGTAGAGATACCTACTTTTGGCACAACGTTTGATAAAAAGGCTTTTTGCAAGATGTCAAGATGTGATACAATGGGAATCAAAATTCGAAAGATGAGAGATTTGTTCTGCAAAAACATTTCTTATTTATTCTGCTTATTTTGCTTAATGCTGTGGATACCATAGGTATCAAAATTTAATGTAAAAATGGTCTTTGTTTACCGGCTGTACTTGTTCTTTGCCTTCATTCTGTGCTTTTTTTCTGAAAGAAAACCCTTCTGCAATGCCAGGTTCTAATAGAGGCTACTCAACAACATGAAATAATGCAGTTTCCTGTCCACTTAAACATCAAGGAAAAGAGGGCAAAGAAAATAGTAATTCTAAAAAACTGAATACCCTGACAACAATTCAGCTGTAAAATTCATGCAGATGAAAATGGATAACAAGCCATTTTAAAATTTCGGGCTATTCATTAATCAACTTCATGTTCTGGCTATTTCATGTTCGGAAGTAGCTTTGGCCTTATGACTGAAGTCCAGGCTTTATTTTGAACCAACTGTTATAAAAGCAATGTTTCCCAGCCGACTTCCTCAAACTAAAGCAGTAAATTTGGAAATTATTAAAAGACGTAGTTGTCACTTGTCAGACTACTGCTTCGGAGCTATATACTTCAAGGCCTCAAGTTGAATGATCTGAATACTAGCCGGTAAACCTTGAAAAACTGAGCAGGAAATATGAAACTTCAAATATGAAGGAACTGAAATAAATCTGAAAAGAAGTCATATGCCCAATTTTGGATGCACCTTCTTCTTCTTGACCAGGCAACGAAATTCATCCATGCTACTCGTGCACCCTAACTTCCTCTTCATTTCTGTCCACATGCTCACCTTTCCCTTTTTTACTCTTTGCCCACTTATGATTTCTTTCTTCATGAGACTGCAGTCCTTCTCTAGCTCCTTCACCTTGATGCTCATTTTTTCCATTTCCATCCTCACTTCATCCTCCTCTTCTTTTCCCAACTTGTCATCATAACCCCGCACCTCCTTTGTCAATGTTTCTCGCAGCTGCAACTGTGCCATAAACAGCACCTGCACTACTAGTCTCACTGGCAATCTTTCATTTTTGGCAACATGTTCACAAGCCTCAGGAGAAATTTTTCGAAAATCCAACACCCTACAAACCTGTTCTTTCTCCTTCTCTGTCAGGTAAGCATGCTTTTCCAAGTATATGTCAATAGCCCGGTATATTCCATCAGAGTTTCTCTTTGTTGCTAATGCTGCTGCCATGGACATCTCTGCTAGTGAAATGAAAGTGTCTATCATTAAATCTATATCACCAGCAATTTCTGCCAAGAATTTTTCTATGAGTTCTGCCACTGTGGTGAATCCTGAAGCATCAGAGCTATTGTAATTGCCATAGAAAATTTTCAAAATCCTCCTTATACACTCAATATCATATTGCAATTCCTTGGCATAGCCTTGAGAAGGAATTAATAAGTCCTTTACTTTTGCCTGGTCCAGTTGCTTTCCAATCCGAACCTCAAATCCATTCCTACAAGCAGAGCTAGCTTCCAAATCAATAGCACAGCGGAGCATTTCAAACAACAAAGTGCAAGGAAGGAGTTCTCTTCCATGAGGCAAGAGTCTCTCCAATGTTTCAATTAGATTTCTTTGAGATTCCCTCTTGTAAATTGACATCGTCTCCCCTCGAGCATTACAAGAAAAGATCCACTTCTTTGCATATTGATAAATAGATGCAGAAATGTACTCTTGTGGGATTTCATGCTGATTCATTGTGTAAATGATAGGCTCATATAGCTGGAGAGGCAATGTTGTCAAATCTTCTTGCCAGTCAAGAGCAAAGAGCCTTCTCCTTGCATTAGGCCTATAACTGCCATCACCATCTTCAGTATCACCATCATTTGTTGAAATGATCATGGGTTCCCCTAGATGTCGGGGATTATCTGATGCTTTTGCAATCATAGCCTGTAAGCAGGCATCAAATAAACCGAGCTGCATTATTTGTTGAAAGAACCTTTCAGACACGCGCAAAGCCTTGATAATTTCATTCCAACTAGGGAGGACTCTTTGTTCGAAGAAGGTAACAGCTTTGCTTAATAGATTGTTACTGCTGTGATTTTCATCCATCCCTAGGTAGAAAGACAGGCAAATGAGTGGTACAATGTTTTCAGTGGACATCTGTACTGCATATCCACGGCAGAATCTCGCAACAAGTTCAAAAGTCTTCGCATCAGCTGGAATGTCCCGAAGTACGCAAGAGAGATCTTCATTAGAATTCTCTTTAAGTAAGGCATCAACTTTAGCTGATTTTGAGGCCAGAAGTTCCTAGATGGTAATGAATAGACACATACATATTCAAATTATGTTGTTGGTGGATAAAGGACAAGGCAGAAAAAACTGCAATAATAATGGAGAAATTATGAATGAAATGAAGCATTTCTCACTTTGTCCAGGGTAAAAGGCATACTTCCTACATGAACCTCCAATTCTGTAGAAGATGCAGACTTAGACATCCTGAGATAAAAAAAAAATGGAGTTGTAAAGAGACTACCCTAATTCAGAAAACAACTCAAAGATTCAACACATAAAATGTAATAAAAAAAAAAGGACAACAGTGTAGAAGGAAACTGAAATGACAAGAGAGAGGATTGATTGAATACCTCAATGATATATCTGTGCATCGCCTTTCAGCCATGTTGTGCAGTTTCAGCTTATTCTGAACAAAAAATATGTCCACACAGGGATGGAAAGAAGCAAAATTTTCTGAAAATAGAAATATTAAATCATTCAAAATCAGATAACTTGTTCTCTAAGAAAATACTTTCAGGCTTAAAGTTTATAATTACTCATACGCGCCCACACACACGTATATGAAATAAGTTTTACACACACACATATGAAATAAGTCTTACCGTGAAGAAGATAGTGAGAGAGGAAGAAAGAATTCAGTTCACTGCTAAATACATTTGTTGGGATGACTTGAAAAGGTAAAACAGATAGTTCCTAATTTTGTGGGGCTCTGTTATTTAAATATTTTCAAAACAGATTCTGATAAGAGAAGCTACCATGCAACCTCTCTCAGTTTATTACCATTTTTTTCTTTTATCTTTTATACTTTGCCGAGACAAATTCAACCCATATCTTAGAGAAACCGTTTGAATCCAAAACAAATCTCAATATATACCAAAATTTAGAGACAGATCCTGAAACCCAATCAATCTCAATATATACCTTTTGGTCGGTCTCATTGCTACCATCATTGTTGCCAATGACTTCCCCATCTTGATGGGGCTTCTTCTTTTGCTGTAACAGTTGGCTCCTTATTCTTCAAATCCTCTTTACACCAATGTTTAACCTTGGGACCAATGTTCTCAGAGTTAACTGAGTTCTTACCTTATCTCAGTCATCACACTTCAGCTTTTGTGAATTTTTCTGAGTCATCACACAATTCATTGTTGAGATATTTTTTCTTTGATTTAATAGTTATAGAATTGTAATAAAAAGAATTATAATTGATATAAATTGGTGTTCTTGGGGCTTAGTCGCATATTAGCATTCAAATTTTACATATTTAATATGCTTTAATTTTGAGAAGCACTATGTATAAATTTGTACATGATAAACGGTGTAAACCCAACTACATATGCAGACCAAAGTTACCTTTAAGCATAGTCACTTAAAATGGAAAAAAAGTTTTACAGAAAAATGGTTACATTCAAGATTATCAATTTGGAATGCTTTCAAATTCATCCAAATTCAATAAAAACTTATGCATACAATTAAGAGAAATGCTAAGCGTAAGCGTTCACAGATTTATTACTTATTATCTCTTGTGTAGGTAGTCGGAGTTGTACTATTATTAGACACTATGATAATACTAAGAGATTGACCTGACAATTTTAAACATCATATGATGATAATATCCAATGGCTCTATTTCTTGCATAACAAAAATTTTGCATATCTAGCTGCGTGTGTTTTTTTGTTTTTTTTGTTATGATGATAAAACACGAAATTAATACAAAAAAAAAAAAACAAATACTATTTAAAATTTTAACAAAACTCATGAGTTCATAAAAAAGCAAAAAATATATATTTTTTTGTATTTGATATATTAATATAAATTATAACATGACAATTTTCGTGTTTTACATATATTAAACATAAAATAAACAAATATAGATATTATTTATAAATTTTTCACATTTGCAAGGTACATAAAATAGTCAGAAACATATATACGAGGATCTACGTAAGGGTTACTTATAGATTTTTCACATTTGCAAGGTACACAAAATGGTAGGTAACCGTGTTCCCAACGATGAAAAAGGTAAAAGACGTTGAATTATCATTGCAAGGGAACTTTTGAACCTTGATAAGAAAACAACTGAACCGCATTCCTGTAGCTTAACTCAGCAAGTTCTTCTTTACTAATTTCCAGCAAAGTCGCAACATAATCAACCACCTGGAGTAGTGAACAATGTCAAAATGTTACAAACATGACATGATGCTCTCATGTGCATACCAGAACATATTTGCTATGAAATACATATAATGCAAATAGGGTAAACGCACATAAAGCATACATGCGGTCAAAACTTAATGATCGCATTTCAAGCAAATTTAACTACTGATATCAGATGCAATAACCAAATCCATTGACGAGTCACCTAATTCCCTGATGTTCGACCAAAATAAGTTCTTAAACTCCTCTCCTTCCATTTATCATATATGAACCAGCTGATAGGACTAATCACGCTATGAACATTACATCTATTTTTTATTAGATTAGTGCCGTTTTTGTTATTCATCAAATATCTCGTTTCTCTTTACAGTTGTTTGAACTGTACCACCATAAAATTCAATATAACCCTGTTTGGTGCCATATTTAGTTTTTTTGTCTATTGACAGACTCTTATATATTCTAGAGAAAACAAATCAATATCCTATAGGGCTATAAATGTAACTAGGTAATTAAGGAAGGTGATGGGAATTGTCCCATATTAATTTTGTTTTAAGCTATTCCTATATAATTTCTTTTGTTTCTATAAGAAAATGTGTTGAAAGCAAGAGACTGGGAAAAAGATGTAAGCAGGATGCAAGTATATATGAAAGATACCCTTAAGTTGAAGTAGAAAGCATACATTATGAATGTTTGCTGGATGATTAAGCATATCTTTTGGCAATGTCGAATTATCTCTTGAAGCAAAGGAGTGATTATAGAAAGGAATGGTAACATTTGAAGCAGAACTTCTCCCTTGGGCAAAAAATTCTTGTGGGAGGGAAGGATCTTCGTCTACCATAAATAAAGAGCCTAACTCTGAATTTGGCAGCGCATCAGGTGCATCTGACTCTAATAATATCCTCTCAGAAGGTATCTGCAGGAATTTTAGAAGTAAGAAGACCACATACTTTGTCACATGACTTACATCCATAGAACAATGAACCTGATGAACTAACCGCCTTAAGCATTTTCTTGGCCTTTTGTGCTTTCATGGGCATGATGAATCCTGATAATGAAAAGTAAGCACCATATTTGGCAAATTCAGGGACCATCTCTGCAGAACCTAGGTAAGAATGAAGAATGACACCACCTGGTAAAGGCCCAATGTCCCTGAGGAAATAAATACATTGTGGTAAGAAAACATGTGTACTAGCTAGAGCATGTTACAAGTACATCAGTATGCAAGTAGCTAAGAGCCTAAGATACATTGTGGCAAGAAAAAATTCAAGCTTAGGTCTAATGTGCACTTCTATCAAAGACAGTAAGGTGGAAAACTTGGGAAATTGTTTCTTAAAACTTGCTTCCCTTCCTAACATTATTTACTAGCTACTAAGCACCGGATCTTAGAGAAATTACACTGAAACATTTTCCAAATGTTCTCCAATAATATTGTTCAAGATAAAATCTTTTGATAAAAAAAGAAAAATGTAAAGAATGACTTACTTCATTATCTGAAGAAGATCACCAAATGCACGAACACAATGGACAGATGCTGGTTTTTTCAACTCTTTTGCAAGCTCTAGCTGTTGCCGAAACACTTCAATCTGGAAGATATAACTTAAAAATTCAGAAATAATTTAGAAAATGCCTAGGACGCATCATTAAGAGCCAAGTGATATTTAATTAATTTAAAATAAAAAATGTTTTCACAAGCCTTCTAAGAGGTCCCAAAAAGTTGTAGATAGCTCTGAATAATATTATCATGATCGCAAAAATAAATATGTTCGAGAAAAATAAAAAATTTACTGTATATTAAGTTTCTTAGACATGCAAAGCACTAAAAAACGCATAAAGAAACAGTTTAAAGGAGAAGGAAAGGGTAGAGGTAGGAAATGGAATAAAAAGATAAACTCTCTTGACCTCTTCTAACTCATGCAATAGGACTGATACCAATATTATTTGGACCTGCCAAACAATTCAACAGTGTTTCAAGAACTAATGTTAAAGAAATCTACACCCTTTGAGTTGCAATTTTTGAGACAGAAGTATGCAACAATGCATGGATGTATTTCCAAAACGGAAATTGCACAAGAAAGAAAAACCTAAAGCATTGATTCAACAAAATATTGTTGGAGTAAACATGTTTAGCATCCAGTTAGGACCTAAGTTCTCTCACTGTTGCTTTGCTTAACTAAATCCCATTTATTCATATGCTAAAAAAAAAATTTCCCTTCACAATAAAAGCAAAGTATGGGGTTGCAATATGTAAATATGATGTAGGCTTTAGTGTTACACATGAAGCTGCCCTTTTGCAATTAATATACATCCATTCACACCAAGTAAAGAATAAAAGTAATGACGTTAGAGAGAACAAAGCCCTCATCGACAAGTAGCAGCTTATGGGAAAATTTAATACAAAATAGATGACAATCAAGTAGCAAGAAAACAGTGAGAACCTGATCATTAAAATCAATCTCCCTTCCTTTTGAACCTTTGTCCAAACCAATCTGAACAGGCCCAAAAGCATGTTGTTGTTAGAGGTATCCTTAAACATACAGAAATTCAAGCACAATAGTATAAGAATATATACCATGTCACTTTTTCATTTCAAAAGGAAAGAAATTTACCTCTCCAACAGCAGCAGAAGGAGTGGTCTCGAAGAATTCCTTGAGAGTAATGAACCAACTAGGACTTCTCTCAGCAACATACCTGCAAAAAATGAAAAAAGTAAACAAAATTTAAGGAAAAAAATTGAATTTTGCTTAAAAGCTATATCTAACTGTTCACTTGACTTTACCAAGGATGAACCCCAAAGCAAGGAATAACAGATGGATACTTATCTCCCATTTCTTTCACCAAATGCCAATCTTTCTACACTGCCCAAGTTCAATATTATCAGAAAGAAGAAAAAAAATCAAATAAAATTGTTGCAAAAGCAAAGACCCACCTCAGAGACACCATTAACAGCAAAATTAAGCACCCCAGAATCCAAAGCAGTGGAAATGAGTTTGGGTGCTTTGTTGAGAATTCTAGGATCTTGAAGGTGGCAATGAGCATCAAATAATTTCATGGCTATTTCTCTTTTTTTTTTTTTCGAAGTTTGGCTTTTGGTCTTGGAAGCTATCTGGTTTCTTCGTGTTTTGCCGCAAACGATTCCGTCTCTGGGAGTTTTGTCACTAACACGAGCTAAGGAAGGGCGATATCCACGTGGGTTGATTTTAGTTTCTGACATTTTATTTATTTTGTATTTTTACATTTTATGAAAATTAAAAAAAAAAAAAAAGAGTTAAGGCTTTTTTATTTTTTATGCAGTGTCTTATTTTATGTAAAGCGATTAGCTGCTATTGGTAAAGGGTGTGAAAAAAATCAAGAAATAAAAAATTAATTTAAAATTAAAATATTTGATTTCGTTTGAAATTTTTTTTACTTAATTCCGATTAAGATTAGATGTTAAATATATATATTAAATTTAGATTAAATTTTAAATTAAGATATGAAAAATAAAAAAATTAAACTGAATAATATATTTTTATTAATTTTTATATATTTTAAATTTTTATAAAATAAAAATAAATATTTTATATAAAATCTATTTAAATATATTAAAAATTTTATTTAAATAATATATAAAAAATTTAAAATTTAAAAATTGATGAACTAAACAAATCAAACTGATAAAATTTAATTTGAATCAAATTAATTTTAAAAAAATATTAATTTAAATTAAAATTAAAAATTAAAAATTTATAATATTATATATTATTTTAAAAAACTAAATTGTAATTATTCCTCCTTGAGTCAAAGGCCCAAACTTGGAGGTGATAATTGGGCTTGAAATTGGATAGTTGGGGTTCAAAATTGAACCTAATGGTTTTAGGTTTAGGTGATACTTAACCAAGGTTTCATGCCCCTTTGCCATTGGCAGCTAAGGGGTGATTAAAATAAGTGATATTTTCTGAAACCAAGATTTCCATTTTGATTTTTGATTGACCCTTAGTATGAACCTTTGGCTACTCCAAATAAAAAGTTTTCAATTTAATCAATTTGCATGTCTGAGAGAAGCGCACGTCTACTTTCCACATGAAACTGTTTTCTCAAATCTTCAGTTCACCACAAATAGCTTTCAGCATAAAACAAAACAAAAAAGATTAGATAGAACAGCAATAGAACACGTTTACCCCACATTTCTTCTCGACAGTCACTTGTAGCCAATCAAAACACTCTCTCTTAGATCTTCTCTGATTTTGACCCCTCAAAAATATTCTTTGCTCAGCTCTCTCCCTCAGTTTCTTCCGTGCCTGACTGTGTTGTTGCAAGTACATTCAAAAGAAAAGAATGTGCAAAAGGAAAGGGAAGAAAGGTCTATTTTTCTTCTCATTCTTCACCTCAACTCCATATTGAGGCTCAAATTAAAATACCCATTTCCTCTATCTCAAAAACAAAGACAAAAAAATCTACTGAGTATTATATATATTGAAGATTCTATGAAGATTCACTCTTGGGAGAGACTGAGAAGAAAAAAAATTGGAAGTTTGATTTTTTGCATTATGATGTGGGGCTTTTTCTTGGATAATAAAAAAATTTCTTTCAAGTGAAATGGAAAAAGCTTCATACTTGTTTTGTGGAAGCTTTCCTTCTATAAAAACAAAAGCTTTGGCTTTTTGTGTTCAAAAGAGTAGCTTTTTGAGTTATTTGCCACTCTCTTTTTCTTCTTCTTCTTGTGTGAAATCTATTTGTTTATTTGTTGGTCATAAAGATAATTATCCTTCAACAAAATTTCAATCCAAGCAGCTTATTTGTAATGGTAGTAGCGAAAGCGGCAGCAATCAACGTAGCAGCAAGTTTATTACTGCTACAACGAAGAAGCCTAGAAGCAAAAGCAATGTTGACAGGAAGCAAAAAATTAGCAAAAATGATAGTAAGTATACTTCTAAGCCTAGTAGTAGTCTTAGTAATACAAAGATAATATTGGAAGAACTGCGGTTGTTGAAGAAATAGAAAGTTAAAAAGACAAAGGCTTTAAATGTGAGAACTTTGTATCAAAATGGCGATCCTAGGTGGAAGAGATCTTGGGAAGAGAGTAATTAGGTGGATTAGTGAAGGGATGAAGGCAATGGCTTCAGATTTTGTGTCAGCAGAGTTGCAAGGGGAGTTTTTGGAATTGAGGAAAAGGTTGGGGCCCGGATTTACTTTTGTGATCGAGTCACAGCCTTATCTCAATGCCATTCCTATACCTCTTGGACTTGAAGCAATTTGTTTGAAGGCTTGTACACATTATCCAACTTTGTTTGATCATTTCCAGAGGGAATTGAGGAATGTTCTTCAAGAGTTGCAACAGAATTCTGTGGTTGAAGATTGGAGGGAGACTGCGCCTTGGAAGCTGCTTAAGGAGCTTGCAGATTCAGGTTGTATTTTCTTGATGGCTGGAAGTATTTTGTTGTCCAACTTTATTTCCAGGTTGATTATAGCATAAGTTACCTGTTTTAATATAATGCTTGGAATATGCTAGTTAATGAATTTAGAAGTTTGATAAAAGAGTTAGTTTGAGCCGGGAATGGTGGATTTGCAGCACAGCATAGGGCGATTGCTAGGAAGATTACTCAGCCCAAGCCTGTTCAAGGTGAATTGGGAATGGATTTGGAGAAGGCTAAGGCCATGCAGGGCAGGATTGATGAGTTTACAAAGCGGACGTCAGGATTGATGCAGAATTGGAGTTCACTCAGGAGGAGTTGAATGCTGTCCCTACACCTGATGAGGGTTCTGATTTATCAAAGCCTATTGAGTTCTTGGTTAGCCATGTTCAGGCTCTGCAAGAACTTTGTGACACCATTTGCAATTTAAACGCTGTTAGCACATCAACAGATTATCTAATTATTTAGCTTTATTTCCAATATTTGTTTTCTTTTATATGAGATTGATACCCTGTGTTTGTTCTTCATTTGGTCTTTTAATGCAATTTAGGAGTTTGTGCCAAAAAAGGTGGTTAAGTTTGGTGATACCTTTAGAATTTGTGCTGTGAACAGGTTAGGTGGAATGCATTTGGTGTTATTTAGGGTCGAAGGGAATCATCGACTTCCACCTACTACACTGTCTCCTGGAGATATGGTTTGTGTTAGGATTTGTGACAGCAAGGGAGCGGGTGCTACTACTTCCATGCAGGGATTTGTTGACAACCTTGGGGAGGATGATTGTAGCATCAGTGTGGCCCTGGAGTCTCGTCATGGTGATCCCACTTTCTCTAAGCTCTTTGGAAAAAGTGTGTGCATTGATCATATTCAAGGATTGGCTGATGCACCCACATATGAGGTATTTGATAAATGCATTTAATTTTATCATTATTTTCTCTTACATTTCATAGATTATGAACATGTTAATTTTTACAACCTTTAGTCTATTTCTTAACTCGTAGTGTATTGCAGAAAGCTAGAAAACTACAATGTCTGATTGAACATATTTAATAACATTTAGGTCTAGACTCAATGCTTAGGTAAATATGTACTGTAGGTTTGTCTATCTCTGCGTAAATTGGTAGCACAATGTAATCCCTGTTATTTACTTATGAATGCCTAGAGTAGCATCTCAAAAACTCTCCCCTCCCTCCCCATCCACCCTTCTTTCTTTTTGATGGTAGCATCTCCAAGAATAGCTATTTTATCTGAAACCTCTATTGAAAATTTATTAGATTTGATAAAATGAGAATTGACTATCTTGAAACTCTATTGACCCAAGAAAATTCTATAGATTCCCTTAAACTCTTTCCGGTTAGATGACATGATGTTCCAAGGTGTAGTTTTTTACTTGGACGACACCCTTTTTTACTTCAAATAGACTGAAGTTGGTATGAGGTTGGATGTGGTGAAAGATTCACTCTTCCACATTTTATAGGGAATTGGCTCGTAGAAGGACATCTCAACTTTTGAGTTAGTTGTTTCAATGGTCCATGAGTACTAAACCCAGATAATGTTTTATCCACTTTGCAAAAGCTCCTTCTTTACCCTACATCAATCAATTCGTTTCCATTTCTTTCTGTTTGAATAAATTCTTATTATGTCATTAACTGCCCTCTTTTGGGGCTTTTTTACCGCAATTGTGAAGCCTTGATGCTACTTCAGAAGAATGGCTTGCAGAAGAAAAATCCTTCAATTGCTGTTGTGGCCACACTTTTTGGAGACAAAGAAGATGTGGCCTGGCTAGAGGAGAATGATTTGGCAGACTGCAAGCAAGCAGAGTTGGATGGATTGTTACAGAATAGAACATTTGATAGTTCTCAGCGAAGAGCAATTTGCTTAGGCTTCAACAAGAAGCGTCCTGTGTTGGTTGTCCAAGGACCTCCTGGTGCTGGGAAGACAGGTTTGCTCAAGGAAATTATAGCACTTGCTGTTCAGCAAGGCGAAAGGGTGCTAGTAACAGCACCAACTAATGCAGCTGTTGACAACGTGGTTGAGAAACTTTCAGGTACTGGATTGAACATAGTGCGGGTTTGAAATCCAGCACGCATTTCTTCAACTGTAGCATCAATGTCTTTGGTTGAGATTGTGAATTCTAAGCTTGCAGATTACAGAGCAGAGTTTGAGAGGAAGACGTCAGATCTAAGAAAAGACCTCAGACATTGTTTAAAGGATGATTCTTTAGCTGCTGGCATATGCCAGCTTTTAAAGCAGCTTGCTAAGACACTAAAGAAGAAGGAGAAGGAGACAGTAAGGGAAGTACTATCAAGTGCAAAGGTGGTGCTTTCTACCAACACTGGAGCTGCTGATCCACTTATACGAAGGCCGGATGCTTTTGACCTGGTTGTTATAGATGAAGCTGGGCAGGCAATTGAGCCATCCTGTTGGATCCCAATATTGCAGGGAAAACGTTGTATGCTTGCTGGTGATCAATGCCAACTTGCTCCAGTAATTTTGTCCAGAAAAGCTTTAGAAGGTGGCCTTGGAGTATCCCTACTAGAGAGATCTGCAACTTTGCATGAAGGGGTTCTTGCAACCATGTTAACAACTCAGTACCGAATGAATGATGCAATAGCTGGTTGGGCTTCAAAGGAGATGTATAATGGAGAACTGAAATCCTCACCCTATGTAACATCTCATCTTCTTGTTAATTCTCCATTTCTCAAGGTATGAGACCCAATCATGTTTATTCATTCTATAAATTGGAGCATAGATCTATCCCGTTGTTGAATGTGATTTATATCTTTCCTAATGTTTTGGAGCTTCTTCCC